GTTACAGGGGATCTTGTTCTCCTGAAGGATCTTCGACCCTCTCCATTGGGACTTTGGTGGACCAGCCCTCATCTGGTCATTCTCATGACACCCACTGCTGTCAAGCTCAATGGGATCCCCCAGTGGCAGCACCTCTCAAAGAACAGTTAGAAAAATGGAGAAGGGAGTTGGAAGACTCTAGGGAATAACATTTCACAGAGGTTCTCCTGGCCAATGCCCATCCTAATGCCTGTTTCTTGCTCTCCTATTCTTAAGCTTCCTCCCTTGTATCATAACCAGTTGTACCTCCAGGGGTATCAACCTCTCCAGAACTGTCCAGAGGACTGCTGTGAGGGCCCCGACCAGGACGCAGGAATATGAGGATCTTGCCCCATTCAGTGCCCCCTGCCAGCAGGAAGCAGCTAAGAGCCGCTTAGCCCCAATTCCCAATCCTCAACCTCTACCCCCATCTTTATTAAAGAAAAAATGGGGGAATGACAGAACAACAATGTTGCCATTTCTAAATTGGCCAAAATGGCAGCCCCGCCCCTTAACAGCAATTCCCATGCTGTAAGACAGCCCCACCTCTACTGGAGACTACCACACACGTGCTAACTTCCTTAACCTCCCCCTTCTATAAAAGCCACGCCTTGCCCAGAGTCTAGGCTGCGCCATCTTTCCCCAGCCAGCCTGGCAGTTTGGGCCTGCCATTAAACTTTGCTCTTGGATGTTAGATTTTTCTCATGAGCTTTCTTTGTGAGCGGCATTTTTCCTAACACCCCCCCACCGCCTTGAACCAATAGCTGGGTGCAGTGGTGCATGCCTGTCATCCCAAGCTATGGCAGGAGGCTGAGATCAGGAGGATCGTGGTTCTAAGCCAGTCCCGCCAAAAAAAGTTCTACAAGACCCCATCTTGAAGGAAAAAAGCTGGGTGTGGTAGTGCATGCCTGTCATCCCAGCTACAGTGGGAAGAATAAAATAGGAAGTATCATGGTCTAGGCTAGCCTGGCAAAAAAGCAAGACCCTGTTTACAAAATGACCCTAGTGAAAAGGGCTGGAGGCCTGGCTCAAGAGGTAGGGTGTTTGCCTAGCAAGCCACGGTACTGCAAAAAAAAAAAAAAAAAAAAATCAGCAACTAAACTACTTTCAAAACTTTACTCTTCTATTCACTTTTTTTTAACATCTATTTTTTTTAATTAATTTATTTGCAGTACTAGGGTTTGAATGCATTTTCTTTTTTGGCTGCACAGAGTTTTGAACTCAGGGACTCACTCTTGCTAGGCAAGCAGTCTACCACTTGAGCCACTCTACCAGCCCCTAATTCTTTTATTCAAAAGCAACTGCAGTGCCTAGTTAGGTTAAAACCTATTAGCTTTGGAAATGAGAAATTATGGATCAGGCAAATTGTACCTGATCATGTTTCCTGGTTCAATCAGCAATAATCATTAATGGCTGTAAAAACTATTAAGTGACAAGTTCAGGAAGAACTGCAATAGATCATCAGATGACACCAAACTCCAAAGAACAATGTAGTACCAAACATGGGATGCCTGCCACTATAGGCTTCCAGATGTGATGTAACAAGAAGTGCATGTTACTGCTGACACTTGCCAAAGCACAGTTAAATCTAATCAAGTTTCTACATCTTATTGCTAGTTTATATAGACGATGGAGGCTAGAGGAACAAGAAAAACAATATTGTGGATACAATCAGCCAAATCTAGAATATGAGGAATTCAACAGACCGAACGATCTAAGCAACAGCATTATCTACAACAAAAATGGCTTACACCTGTAATTCTAACTTCTAGGGAGGCTGAGATTGGGAAGACTGAGGTTTGAGGCCAGCCTGGGCAAATAGTTTAGAAGACTTACTCAAGCGGTAGAGAGCCTACTTTGCAAGTATGAAGCCCTGAGTTCAAACCCCACTCCCACAAAAATAAATTAATCAATAAAAAAGGCATAAAAAAAAGAGAAAGAGGAAAACTGTTATAAACTAAAATAGTCTGAAGAGACATACCAACCAAATATAATCTGTAAACCTTGTGTAGAGCCTGACTTTAAAAAAAAAAAAAAAACTGGAAAGATTTTTGAGATAACTGGGGAAAACTGAACACCAATTAAATATCAGATGTTAATATTGAATCATTGTTAATTGTAACAATAGTAGCATAATTGTTTTAAAAAAATTCTTCCTTCTTTAGAAACATATACCAAAGTATTGAAAAGAAAAGGGTATAATGCTTCAGATATGCTTTAAGACACTCCAACAACTAAGAATAACAAGCCAGGCAGCTACTAGGCAGACTGAGGTGGGAAGATCCCTTGAACTCATTAGTTTGAGACCAGTCTGGCCAACATGGTGAGACCTGTCTTGGAAAGAAAAACAACAACAAAACAAGGAAATAAATAAAGTAGAGGTGGACAGGGACAGATGTTACAAGAGTGTCAGAAAGCTGATGTCTGTTGAAAGTAGGCAACAGTCTCATGGGACTCACTGTACTTTTTGTTGTTGTTGTGGGTCACACACAGGGCCTCCTGCATGTTAAGTACACACTCCAGCACTGAGCCCAACTATACTACAATTTTTGCTTTTATGTGCATGTGAAATTTCCACAATAATAAAAGATTAAAATAGTAATTAAGCTATCATTACATGAAAAATAATTTAAAATTACTAAGTATTTTAAATATACAATAATTCTTCACAATTATTTTCTTCCAGTCCTGAGATGCAATTATGTACAAAAGTGTTATGGCTTGGATCTGGAATGCCCCGGAGGGGCAGTGTTGACAGGTGGGACATTTGGAAAGTCACTGGATCCTGAGGGATCCAATCCTGTTAGTTCATAGCTTAATAGGCTATTCAGAGGAAGGGCCCAGCTGGAGGAAGTAGGTCTTTGGGAATATGCCTCTGAGTGGTATTTTTCCCATGGCCCTTTCCTCCCCTCCCCTCTCTCTTTTCTTCCCGGTTGCCACAAAATGAGCAGCTTTGCTCCACCACACCCTCCCTGCCATGATGATCTTTATCTGAACACAGGCTCACAGCAATGGGGCCAAAGGACCAGGGTCTGAAACTTCTGAAACCATAGCCAAAGTAAATCTTTCCTCCTTTCAAACTATTTTTCTCAGGCATTTTGTCACAGAGATGGAAAGCTGATTAATGCCCAGGGCTTCTAAAGCAGGCAAGAGGCCAAATGAAGTCAAGAGATTAGATAGTAAAATGTTTGCTCAATTATCAACATTTTACACTGTACGAATGTATGGACTCACCACAACGAAACTCCTTCATATTGTTAATGTGAGCTAATTAAAAAATAATAAAACTACCTTAAAAAAACTTGTCAATGTGGGCATGCAGAGTGGCTCAAGTGGTAAGCGTGCCTGCCTAGCAAGTGTAAGGCCAGGAGTTCAAACCCCAGTCCCACCAAAAAAAAAAAAAAAGTATGGACACTATACTCAATTTCCTTTTTTGAAACAGGTTCTCACTATGTTATACAGGCTGTCCTTGAGCTCACTATCCTGTCTCATGCTCTGCAGTAGCTGCCATTGCAAACTTGTACCACTACACTTAGCTTCAAAGAATTTTTGAACTAATGCACTTTTCAGCAGGCTGAGGTACCCCAAGGACTGTTGAAGCAGGTGAAGAGAAGATATGGTCCTGAGGCCTCCTGCTATCCTAACCTCTCAAATCTCCACCTGCAACAATGACAGCTTGATTTTTTAAATCTACTTTATGTGTTGGGATTTATATTTGAATAAAGCACTCTATGCCTTCAGAAACCACTGAAAACCACTGTTCTAATAAAAGAACAAAGTGGAAAGTGACAGGCTGCTGGTATTATACAAAGAATACCTGGAGTAGAGTGGTTCAAGTAGTAGTGTAGTAGTGTGCCTGCCTAGCAAGTATGAGGCCCTGGGTTCAGCCCCCTAGACCTGTCATTTTAAAAAAAAAACTAAATTAGTGGTTCATAATCCAAGTTTTACTCTAATTGTCATATATCTACAGCCATATGGAAGGCACAATTCTACTGCTCACCTCTCCAAAATGACACTTTCTCTTTTCTAATGTCATTCATCCCATATTTGAATATAATAAGCACAATGACATTTATCTATTCATGGTAAAGAGTAAGGGCCGGGAATAAAGAACATCTTGTTCTCAGCAGTCTTCCGAGAAATGTGACAAGCTACACCTTAGAGTACGAATAGAAGTCTGCCAATTGATCAAAGAAAAAACGTAGGGCCATTACAAAGAGAACCATAGGCTCAGAAATATGCAGTTAATTATCACTGAATGAACGCTTGCTCTATGAACAGAAATTTGTCTTCAGAACCACCCATGGAGGTAGAGGTTATCGCCCCCATACCCAGATAGGGGAATGTCCACATCACAAAACTCTTGACTGACAGAGCCGGATGTGAAACTGGGTATCTGATTTCAAAGCGGAGGCTCTGGGTTCAATGAGGTACATATACTTCAGAGGTGTGAACAACACGGCTTATTGGAAGAGGAAATGACTCGCTTGACCATAGAGCAAGGTGGGCAGAGAAGAGTTGGAGGTATCGAATAAATCAAATATAAGTATGTGTGTGTCCATTCCAGCTCTATCGAAAAGGCCCGTAGTAGCAATGACAGACCAAGCTGTATTCAATGATCTTCTGCTTCCTGTCCGCCCCACTGGCCACATTCCACTGCCACCTCGTGGCAGACCCGGTGTCCTTCTTCTGCCTGCTTCCGTGAAGCCGCACCCAGAACTCCTGGCGACACCTTAGGTAGAAAGCCGCAGCGCCCCCGACGTCGGCCGCCATAAAGTCGGGCAGTCCCGGAAGCAAGAAGCCTTGAACATCGGGGGCGCGGCAACCGTGACGACCGACCTGGATGAACCGTTTGTTATTGGGACTTCACCGCTGCCAGTCTCGGCTTCTACCTTCCGTCCCGCCCCTTCCGCTCAGGTTGTCAGCTAAATGGCGGGCGGGGCCGGGCGGCAATTTCCGGTCGAGGGAGAAAGTTGGGCCGAGGGAGGGGCCGCGAAGAGGGAGTAGGAGGAAGCGGCAAAGGGCCGGGTGGCGGTGGCTGTGGGTTGTGCGACGGCGGCGGCTCTTCCCAGGGCGGACGATGGACAGCCAGGGCAGGAAGGTGGTGGTGTGCGACAACGGCACCGGGGTAAGCTCCGGGCAAGGAGGCCTGTGCGGGGAGCGCGCGGGCCCTCGCCTCCCAGGGCTGCACTCGGGGCCCTCGGGGCGAGCGGGCGCGGGGCGACCCTTCCCGCTTCGCGGGCTTCGGGAGCCAGTGGGCAGGGCCGGAATCTTCTTCGATCCCGCCACCCCCCTAGCCGGCCACCTCTGCAGCCCCTGGGCAGCGAGCGACAGCCGCGCTGGACACGGTGGACCCCTCCTGCTGCCCGGAGGGAGCCGGCTGAGTGCTTGAGTCCAAGCAGTTTGTCCAGACTGCCTGAGGGGTAAAAAGCTGGGTTTTGGTGTTGCGGAAAGGCTCCATTTCCTAGCCGGTGTGTGAGGAGAAAAACCCAGAGGCCTTCCTCTTCCTGTATGGTTGAAGAAACCGAATGGGAGGCAGGAAACGGGTTTGCAGAAGAAAAGGGAAGTGCTGTCAAGGCAGTGGGCCTCAGCCCTTTCGCGGGGCTTCGGAGGGGTTGTTGTCATTCCTTGCCTTGTCTGCCTGTCTTTTTGAGAGAGAGGGAGGAGGATCGGCATCGCATCGCTTACTTGTTCTGCATGCTGGTAGCTTGGCCCAGATGCAGCCCCGCAGAGACCTGCTTGTTCCATGGGATAATTTGGGGGACCTAGTGTTCATTCCGCTGACCTTGGGGGGAAGTTAATCAGTTTGGTTCCTCCTCTCCCCTCACTCCATCCCCCCTTCAGTGCAGGGTACAGATGTTAGTCTTGAAGATTCTAAAATTGTCAAAATCATTCTATACAGCATTGATTGAGAGGCTACATCTTTCCTCCTCCCCCCACCCCCATAAAAATATTTGGGTCAGCTAAGTTAGCTAATTAGAGGACAGAAATGTTGCTTATTTTGGATGAGTTCTATAGTTATTTCTAATCCCCTTTCCTTCCCATAAATGTGACTTATGAATTAAAGCAGATTTTACTTGAACTTTATAAAACACTTTGGAAACTGAATTGTTGTGTGTGGGAGGAAAGAGCTGGTATTGGGTTGTCGAGTGGCTCTAGTAGTAGAGCCCTGCCTAACAAGCGAAGGGTCCTGAGTTCAAACCTTAGTTCTGCCAAAAAAACAAAGCTGATATTCACTGCCATAATACTGCCCTTGATTGAGTTTATTACGGACTTTTACAAGCAATAATTATAATAGCTTCATTTGAGCTAAGTTAAAAATGTACCTAAAGAGAATGTATGATACAATGGAACATCCATACAAAACACTTTTAAAAGACAGATCCATGGCTCTGTAGCATGTCTATGAGAAGATTATAACAATTGTAGAATGGTTTCCTTTATGAGTGTATGCTTTATTAAAGATGTTTATATTCACAAACTTGTATCTGTATGTGAAAATTTCATAGGGATGCATAAATGTATTGATTATTGGAGACAAAGGATGAGAGTTTCATGACAAAGGATTAGGGCTTCATGACTTCTGGATTATTGGGAAAAAGTACTTTTTTCTCTTGCTTTTTTTTTTAACAAAACATATTGTTACATTACATTTAAACTAAATTAACTATAAACATACTACTTCTACAGCTAAAATTCAAAGGTGCTTTTTAAAAATACTAGCTTGATTTCTATCATAGTCTCAAAAAGTTACCTTAAAAGTTGAATAAAAAATAATGTGTTTTGTGACTGTGACAGATACTCTCTTTAGAAACTCAAACAGTTATATTTTAATGGATTTCTCCTCTTAGAGGGATCCCAGGTGATGTGCCCTGTGCATGGTACGTTGGTTGCTGTACTGAGGATGGAACCTGCATGCTAGCCAAGTGCTCCATCAATGAGCAACATCCCCAGCCTCCATAAGCTAATTTTTATATTACTGTTTCATTTGTTTAGCTAGCATTAGAAAGCTGATTGCATATATTGTTAGCCTTATATATAATTCATAATTTAAAAAACCTGTTGTTTAGGATACAAGCTAAGTTACTGTAACATAAATGAAAAAAGTGAAGATAAACAATTTATGTATTTAGTGGCACACTTTTAGATACTAATAAAATTTTTCTATGTTTTCTATAGATGTGATTAGCTACAAGTGATAAAACAGCTCTGATATATGTGAATAATGTAACAATCAGGAATGCTGTGATACTTCTAAAAACTTAGAAGACTGGAAACCACTTAGATTCTATATTGTTTCTTTCTGTCTCTTTTTTTTTTACTTAATTGGGGTTTGAACTCATGGCTCTGTCTGCCTTTTTTTTTGTGTGTGATAGATTTATTTTCCCCAGATAGGGTCTCATGAGCTATTTCCCTGGGGCCGGCTTCGAACCGCAATCCTCCTGGATCTCTGCCTCCTGAGTAGCTAGCTCTGTATTGTTTCTTAACACTTCTAGACATGAACAGTCAGTCATCTTGGTTTTATTTGAGTACCTGAAGTTATAATGATTCCTTTACAATTAAATACTAAGACATTCAGATTTAATTTTTTAAAATTTATGGAAATAGTTGTTACCCTAAAGTGTTTTCATTTGCCCCTTACATGCTTAAGGTTTTAAAATTACAAGGCTAATAGAGAAGTGTTTTTTGTTTTTGTGGTGTTGAGGACTGAACCCAAGATCCCAGGCATGCTAGGCAAGCTCAGTCCCACTGATCTGTGGTTACAAAAAATTTAGTTTTTTTTTAAACCTCTCTAGCAGCTGTGTTTTATCTGATCCCATGCCACATAGTGGTCCTGCTCTATTTTCTCATTATTCCTCAGCTGTACTTCTGTCTCATTAGAATGGCCAAGAGAAGGAAGAGTTATCTAATTACAGTAATTTAGATGCTTTAGCCTCTTAGCCATTGAAACCTACTTTCTAAAATTGAGCTGCTGAAAGTGGCCAAATAAGCAAAAATATGGAGATCTGTTAAACTCTAGGTTTGGGTCCTTTCAAGTTGGGTCTGGGTCTCTAGTGTTGAGTATCCTGTTACCAAACTTGTGATTTCATCAGCAGTGGGTTCATTCCCCAAGAAAATGAGAATTTCCTCTGTTCCTAGTATGTTCTGACACAATGCTTAATAGGTCTATCTATTGATACAGAGAAACTTACAATGCTATAATTGTATTTTCATTTGCAATTCACATTTGTAGTTGATTATGACCTGCTTTATCAAGCTGATGCTAATTGATATGTTGAATTTAGGAGTATTTGAAATAGAAACAAAACAAAAACTTTAGTTTCATTCTGTAAGATGCATTGGAATAACAGAATAAATATCTTGGTGTCCTAAGAATAATCACTATACAACTAAAGATATATACCAATACTCAGATAAAATTAGTAAGGGAGAAATACAAAGTAAATAAGCCCAAATAGACCTTATAAATTCCATTTTTTAAAAAAAGGAAATAGTTATTTTTAGAGCAGATGTAGATGAGAATTTTTTTCATTTTTGCTTGAAGGCATATTATACTGCTCATACTCTTAACATTTGATGACTCAGTGGGAAGTACAAGCCAGTTTAAACCACAGTGCTAAGAAGAGGAAACTATATATGGTAAAATCTATTTCTTAAACACAGCCTATTGCACACAATGAGAGAACTAAGTCATAGACTCTCTAAATGATTGGCATGGGGGAGGAATTTCAAGGAGTAAAATGATACCAAATGAATAGTTAGATAAGTATTTTTGTTGTATTTTATCATGTCATAATTTAGATTTTTTTAAATGCCGAATTGTTTTGCAACAAAGGAATAGTGAAATTTTCTATTTTATGTTATTGATAAATGGACCATTCAAACTATACTATTGTTATAATTAGTAATGCATTCACATTTGAAATAATGTGAAATAGTGCACTTTTGCTGTTTTGGTGGTATATCTAAACCCGTTGGAATGTTAGCACTGAAGTCTAAGACAGCATCTGCTTTCAGTAGGCTATTGCCAAGCCAGTTTTTAAAAAAAATTTTGGTAAAGCAGTAATAGTGGTTTACAACTGTTTCTGTAGTTCAGGAATCTCAGTTTTTTTTTCCTTGGGAGGCACTGGCAGATGTTTGTCGCTTAAAATACACTCAAGAACTGGAGGTGTGGCCCAAGTGGTAGAGTGCCCCCTTGCACAAGCCCCAGTTCCACCTAATAATAATAATAATAATAATAAAATATATTCAAGAACTTTAAGATATGAATGACCCATCTTCACAATTATAATCAGAAAACATTGATGCAGTTGCTTACCACTTTGCCATGTCACATGCTTCTACTGTGTACATGTGGCTCCAAATGAGAGAGGCCTGTCAACCATAGCAGCCTGAGCTCTGCACCAGGGTTTAACTTATACCCTATCTCAGGCTCCTCTACCTTCAACTCAACTTCTATTCTTACTTCTCTTGTAATATAGTCATTAATTTATAATGTGCGGAAAATGGCCATTATAAATGTGTAGATTGTTTTTTCAGTCATTCCTTTTCTAATTTTTTTCTATTTCTTTTTTTGTCATTAAATGGGGATTGAACTCAGGGTCTTGCTCTTGTTAAGCAGGAACTCTTCCACTTGAGCCACACCTACCAGCCCTTTTTGCTTCCGTTTTTTTTTGAGGTACGGTCCTGCTAATGCAGGATTGATGGCCTAGACCATCAATCCTGTTTATGCTTCCCTTGTATCGGGGATGATAGGCATGTACCACCAACCCCAGCTTTTAGTCATCAAGATGGGATCTCTTGAACTTTTTGCCCAGGCTGACCTCAAAATGTGATCCTCCAAATCTCTGCCTCCTGGTAGCTAGGATTACAGGCATGAGCTATCATATCCAGCCAACTCTTACTTTTCTTTGAGAACATTTTTACCTATATGAGTAAGCATTTTCAGCTTGAAAAAATAGGTACTTTTGTCCCATCCAGAATTCACATCTGTTCATTACTTTGAGGTGTTCAACATAAGAATTTACTATTCATTCTTTTTTTATTTTTATTTTTTGACAGTACTGGGGTTTGAACTCAGGGCCTCCTACTTGCTAGGCAGGCAGTCTACCACTTAAGCCATTCTGCTAGACCTTTTTTGTGAAGGGTTTTTTTCAAGATAGGGTCTTGAAAACTATTTGCCTGGGACTGGCTTCCAACCAGGATCCTCCTGATCTCTGCCTCCAGAATAGCTAGAATTACAGTCATGAGCCACCAGTGCCTGGCAAGAATTTAGTATTCAAATAGTATTTGTTTTCTATATGTAGGATATAAATTATGACTCATTAGGTTAGTGATTATCACAGATTTTATTTATACTGAAGTTTGTGTATGGTTGGGAAAATGATGAGAATATTTTGTCTGTTGCCTTCCATATCGTTTCAGTCCATATCAAGTGAGATTTTGACTTAAGGACAAAGGAGATTTTGTGTTTTAGGAAAAAAGAGTATGAGAGATTTTGTGGGAGTTTGTTTGCTTTTGTGGGGGGTTCTCAGACTGGCCTTGAACTTGAGATCCTTTTACCTCAGCCTTCCTAGTGCTGGGATTACAGAATTATGCTACTACATCTGGGTAGCCAGTGTTCTTTTCCTCTGTGGCGGTTGTTCCTCTAAGTCTTTCTAGGTCACATTAATAAGATATTTGAGATGACATTGTTGGAAGAATTAACTAGTGCTCCGGAATTCTGTTTTAACACCTTTGGGGTGGGAAGTGCATTCTTGGTCTTCACTGTCATCTACTATCAAATGAGGCTAGCAGGTTATCTTTTTTTTTTTAATTTTAATTTTTTTATTCATATGTGCATAAAATGCTTGGGTCATTTCTCCCCTCTTCCCCCACCCCCTCCCTTACCCACTTCAGTCCTCTCCCTCTTCCTCCCTCCCCCTGGATACCTGGCAGAAACTATTTGCCCTTATCTCTAATTTTGTTGAAGAGAGAGTATAAGCAATAATAACAAGGGTTTTTGCTAGTTGAGATAAGGATAGCTATACAGGGAGTTGACTCACATTGATTTCCTGTGCATGTGTGTTACCTTCTAGGTTAATTCTTTTTGATCTAACCTTTTCTCTAGTTCCTGGTCCCCTTCTCCTATTGGCCTCAGTTGCTTTTAAGGTATCTGCCTTAGTTTCTCTGCGTTGAGGGCAACAACTGCTAGCTAATTTTTTAGGTGTCTTACCTATCCTCATATCTCCCTTGTGTGCACTCGCTTTTATCTTGTGATCAAAGTTCAATCCCCTTGTTGTGTTTGCCCTTGATCTAATGTCCACATATGAGGGAGAACATACAATTTTTGGTCTTTTGGGCCAGGCTAACCTCACTCAGAATGATGTTCTCCAGTTCCATTCATTTACCAGCGAATGATAACATTTCATTCTTCTTCATGGCTGCATAAAATTCCATTGTGTATAGATACCACATTTTCTTGATTCATTTCGTCAGTAGTGGGGCATCTTGGCTGTTTCCATAACTTGGCTATTGTGAATAGTAGCAGGTTATCTTTTACACGTACCCTCCTATCACAGCAACTGCTGCTTTGAAGTAAGAATTGTGCAGTATTATATTTTTAGAATTGGGTAGCTATATCTGAAAAATGTCCTTGCTTTGGTGGTTCAATGATAAACCGACTAGAACTAGGTTTTATGGGTTTGGAAGAAAACATGTCTGAATCATATATTTTATTTTGGTTCTGAAATTAAACAAACTCAGAAGATAAGAATTAAGATGGTATTAAGAATAAGCAATTTCCTAATTTCAAATAGATTTTTCCATAACAGCTATCTGTTTAGATCATAATTTTAACATTTAAAAAGCTCTGTTTATAAAAAACAAGTAGAATTCTGGGTTGCAGAATGTTCCAGGGTCTTTATAATTTTTAAAGTGGTTTGTCAGTATCATTTCCAACAAGGTTGCTGAAGAGATACTTGATGATTTTTCTGTTTTTGAGGGCTAGTCAGAAGTCAGTGAGTTTAAGGTGTACTACATCAAACAAGAGTTCCTTGTGATAGTAGCTTCCTGTCAAGGGGTACATTAATATTTTCTGTCCACCTTTATATTACTACCATATGCATCACATTCAGGTAGTGTTTCATTGCAGTTCTTCTAAAGTGTATGGTGCCTGGAGCCATACAACAATAGACTTTTTCTGAATATTAAAATACAGTTTTCTGTGATTTCCACAGGAGATTGATTGGTATACACACACTCATACCCACACCCACACTCCACACACTAAAATCCCTGCTTGCTCAAGACTTTTACATAAAATGGTGTCCTTTTGCATATGACCTCTGAATATCACCTAATCCATGGAAATGCTATGTAGTTACATTGTACCTGATAAAATGGAAATGCTATTTAAATAGTTGTTTTATTATATTGTTCAGGGAATAAAGGCAAGAAAAAAAGTCTGTTCATTTTTAGTACAGATACAGTTATTTTCTTCAAATATATTTGAGTTTGCCGAGTCCATAGAATCCCCAACTGTATTTGTATTTTAAAATAATTGTGATCTCATGCTCTTAAATCAATAATTATTTTTAATATTTATTGACCATTTACTTAAGTGCCTGAGACTATTATAGATACTTGGGACTCCTCACTATACACAAAAATCCTTATACAGTGTAGATTTTTGTTGTAACATTCGTTAAAGTGATAGAGACTTGATTACACTTCCTTTCTTAATACAGCTTCCTCTTCCCACTCAGAAATTTTTGTATTTTTCTTGCAATGTCTGCTCCTAAATATATATTATCTATATAAGAATTAAAAACTTTCGGTTCTGCTGGGCATGGTGGTACACGTCTGTAATTCCAGCTACTTGGGAGGCAGAGGTTGAAAGGTCAGCCTGAGCAAAAAGTTAGGGAGACTCCCATCTCAGCCAACAAGCTGGGTTTGGTATTCCCATCTGCAGTCCTACCTTTGTGGCAGTCCAAGGCTGTGGTGTAAGATCCTATTGGAAAAATAATCAGGGCTGGCAGAGTGGCTCAAGTGGTAAGACCACCTGCCTGGCAAGTGTGAGGCCTGAGTTCAAATCCCAGTACCGCCAAAAACAAAACCCCACAAAACAATTAAAAAGAAAAAGAACCAAAGCAAAAAAGGACTGGGGTCATGGCTCAAGTGATAGAGCATCTGACTGACAAGTACAACGCCCTGAGTACAACCCCTAGTAATGACAGAAGGAAAAAAAAAACAACTTGGCTCTATTTTAGATTTTATTGTAGTAGTTAAGTCTCATAGGCTGGGCACCAGTGGCTCATTCCTGCAATCCTAGCTAATTGGGAGGCTGAGATCAGGAGGATCAAGTTTTGGGGCCAGCCCTAGGCAAATAGCTTGAGAAACTCCATCTCCAAAAATAACTGGAGGTGTGACTGAAGTGGTAGAGTACCTGCTTTGCAGCTGTGAAGCCCTGAGTTGAAATTCCAGTCCCACCAAAAAAAAAATCTCCTAGAGTATCAGTTTCTTACAGATCAAATGGAAGTATTAGTCACTGTTATGTCCTCCTTATAGAAGTACACTATCATAATATGAAATTATGTTACCTGGTGTTACTAAATACATTTATGTATTATTAAAATTATGTAAATTGCCAAAAATGCCTAATGAATGCATATTTTCACATGATGCTAGTTGATGGCACTTAGTTTTCCTATTTTAGAAAATAGGTTGCTTAAGTGAACTGCCCAAGATCAAGCCTACTTTCATTTATGAAATGAAGCTTTTTTCTATTCATTTTCTAACATTTTTGAAAAAGAATACTTAGCATATGTTGAGTGAATTTGTTTTTTTAAATACATTTAATTATAAAAGGAAAAATGCTTAAACATTAATCAGAATTGAGTGAATTTGTTATACACAAATAACAGTCTGAATGACCATTGTCTGCTATGGCCTCCTTTTTTTTTTTTTGGTGGGACTGGGGTTTGAATTCAGGGCTCCACATTTGCTAGGCAGGTACTCAACCTCTTGAGCCACTCCGTCAGCCATTTTTTTTTGGATGAGTTCCCCCCCCCCCCCATAGGGTCTCATGAACTATTTGCCTGGGGCTGTCTTTGAATGATGATCCTCCTGATCTCTACCTCCTGAGTAGCTAGAGACTAGTTCTGATTACTTTGGAGATGGGGTCTTCCAAAGCATTTGCCTGGGCTGGTCTTGAACCTTGATCCTCTTGATCTCAGCCTCCTTAAGTAGCTAGGATTATAGGCATGAGCCACAAGCACCCAGTGCCAAGACATCAGGCTCCAGCATGAGCTGTCAGCTTAGCTCCTCGTGCTTGTGAGGCTTTCCACTTAGTGGAGGCACTTAGTGCTAAGTAAGCAGTTACTGGTGAGTGAATATGAACTCTGATGGAAGTAAAAGGAGATGGTGCTAGAACATAGAATAGGTTTTGAGTGCTTTGAAACCACCACAAGTTTAAAATACTGTATAAATGCAAAGTGTTGTTTTCGGGGTGCTATTTGTAAATGACTGTACTGAATGCCCTGACACTAACCCACTTTTATTGTTTCTTTCTAGTTTGTGAAATGTGGATATGCAGGCTCTAACTTTCCAGAACACATCTTCCCAGCTTTGGTTGGAAGACCTATTATCAGATCAACCACCAAAGTGGGAAACATTGAAATCAAGGTAATATTTTATTTACTGTTAAAATGATCGTCAAGTCATATGAGATGTTGCTTGAGTTAAGCAGTTTTAAATTATGCCATGAAAAGCAAAGGGGAAGGGGAGAATTTCTCATACTTGTAATTTATACTAACACCTGAACAAGAGTATAAAACCTGAAGTTAATTTCATCTCATTTTGTTTATGCATGGCTTGATGCCATTACTAATCTGGAGTACAGTGCTTAAGGTTTTTTTGTTTTTTTGTTTTTTTTTTACATTAATGTAAGGCACTGTATTAGTGACTTAAAGGCCTTACATAATTTAATTTTTAGAAAAAATCAGCCTGACAATTTCATGTCTTTCAATTTGATATATCTTGTGTTTCTTTGGGATCTTAGACTTTTTCCCTCATATTTTCATGGCTTAATCTCCCTACTTTTTTATATAGCAAGTCAGGAAAACACAGAATGTAGAGCTCATTGGTTCCTCTTTTCACAAATGTAACTAATTTCCATGATGCGCTGAAGGAAGCCATGCACATCTTTGTTGGGACTTGCACTATTTACCATAAGGAGAGAGGAGAGAAAGTTGTCACTGCCACCTCGATGTACTGGACATGAGACACTACGTTACAGATGTAGATGTAGATTTGCCTCTTACAGGACTAGAAATCAAGTAGAAATTACATTGTTTTAGAAAAAAGAAAGAATAGTCAAAAGGACAGTGCTCACCAGTTGACTTCAAATTCTTCAGGTGGCCTAGGAATCAAGTTATATAGAATACAGTAGAATTTAGGCACACTTTTAGTGAATTGTTGTGAACAAGCTCACATTGGTCCCATCTGAACAGTTTTTGGCAAGACTTCAGTGAAGTGTTAGGTCAAGAGTCATTTGAAGGATAAGTTAAAGTGCACATCTTTGGGACATTTGTTTGTGAGATCTAGAAAGGTGGTAATAGGTGGTAGAGATCTGCTACTAGGTAGGTCTCTCCTGTTGGTACGAGAGAGTTGAGTTATACAATGAATAAAAATACAAACTGAAACTGAGGTTCTGTGTTAATTTTTTAAAGACTTAAAGTAGTGAATTCTCTTATGTTATAAAAACATGCAGTATAAGACTTAGCGAGGGACTTTGCTTTTGGGAAATTTATGAGATTCCTTTTTTGTGAACTCCATTTTAATTGAATTCTATCAAATGATTTTCAACATGAAGTTTAGCTAATAATAGTGATAAGGACAAACTACTATTTGGAAGTAATATTTTTTTTATTTAGTGTCTTTTTAAAAATATTTTATGTATGATAAATTTTTTGAAGTATAAAGATTTATATATAGCCATTTTTATTCTCCAATGTGTTAAAAAATGATTTTATATATATGTGTGTATATATATATACCCACTTTCTTGCTTTTTAAGGCCGAGTGATAGAAATCAAACTTGTTGATTATTTAATACAACTTATTTATCAAGGAATTCCTCAGTAGCATTTGCTAATATGGTTTATCATTCTGTGTCCTGTTGGCTTAGTTCTTTTCACTTTGCTTAGTCTTAAGTCTTTGAAGTTAATTTTTTTTTCCCAGTAGGAAAGAGTAAAAGAGACCTATGTCAAATTTATCTTTAGTAGAGTTGTAAATAACCCTGAGCTATTTAACTCTGCCTATTCAGCTAGACCTTTGCTGTTATCACTTACTATGTTAATTAAAGTTCTTAAATTCAGTAATGAAATACAGAAATTCAGCTTTTTGGAATTCCTGTGCTTAGTGAATTGATTTAGATTTGTGTGTCTTGTTAGCTAAAATGTGACTTTAAAAATGGAAATTTAAGTCATTTATTTAGTTAATTTTCATTCAGGAATAATAATTGTCCGTGTTAATTTGGCCCTGATTATTAACTCCATAAAATATAGTAGTATTGCATCTGACCTCAACCTAATTTGTCTCTGTTGCTTGTATGTTTACAAATTTCAGTGAGGATTTTATTTAGGCCTTTTCTGACTCTTACTTCTACCTTCTCTTTCTTCACCTTTCTTGACCTGTTGAAGTAGAATAACAAAAAGATGGTAAGTGAGGTTACACACATGCTCTCTGTTTGTTTTCCACTTTTGCTTGGTGGGACAGTAGTTGTTGTTTTGTGTCCCTTTAGTAGTGGGGAGGGGGTTTTTCATATTTTTTATTTTAAGTACTTTAATTTTTAACCTTTTTCATTGCTTCAATTTAGTAGCAACTAATTAAGTCCTATGCTTTCCTGTTGGCATTACAATGGACCAAACAAGAACTAATTACTAACATAGTTTTGAATTGTTTTCCTTATAGATGAATGTTACAATTAAAATGGACTGTGGTGTGCATAATACTAGAAACCAAGGTTTTTAAGGATATGTGTGATCCAGAAAACTGGGATGAAATCGTTACATTTGGATAGATTCACTTTACTGACCAATGTTAAACATTGCCTACCATACCTTGTGTGTATATTTGCATGTAGTATAACATCATATATATTTAATAAATTGAGTAAAATTTTATATGCGAATGAGCCATAAATGAAGAAAGAGAACTAAAAGAGTGACTTGTTTCCATATCACCTTACTGATAAGTACATTGGATGGATGAGGATAGATTAAAAAAGGTAAAGCACCTATTAGGCTTTCCCACAAGCAACAGATTATTCCTCCCCTCCCTCCCAGTCCCCCTAAGTAGTCACCATTGTGTAGTACCTTTTTCTTTTCAGCTAGAAGCTTGCTGGGCCTATCTCAGACATTTGACTTTTTCCTTTGTGGTGCCAGGGATCAAACCCAAGGCCATGTGCATGCTGAGCAAGTACTCTACCACTGAGTTACATCCCCAGCCCCCATTTGACTTACATTTTTCGGTGATAGTGTAAGTGCTTCTATAGTAGATATTTTCAGGTTGTGGAGGTTTTTTAAATATTGTTTATAAGCATCTTTGACAAAGATGCTTTTCTAATGATATATATTTTAACTAGTAATGGTAACTTTGTCAAATTTTGTTTTCAATAGAAAACATTTAAGAGCAGAAATGCTTGTATTTTTCCTATAATATATCATACATTGTCTTAAAATCTTGAAGAGATTTTTTTAAAGGCTGTAAGTATACGCTTAATTTAACAGTTTATAAGACAGTATTTCCTTATAGGGATGTAATTGTGGTTTTAAATTTGTTCTCTAATTCATAATGACTTGGTTCAAAACGATTCTTGGCAAATAAAATCTATCCTGTCTGTCTTTGATAAAGTATAATTGCCTTTAAAACTGTTTTCAGTTACTGATTTTTCATTCTTTGAATAGGTGATTGTTTAGGCTTGAAATCCAATAGTGGGCAGATGGTAAAAACTTAAAATGCTAAAAACTGAGCCCTGGTGGCTCACGCCTGTATTCCTAGCTTCTCAGGAGGCAGAGATCAGGAGGATCTTAGTTTGAAACCAGCTTGGGCAAATAGTTCCTGAGTCCCTATCTCAACAAAACTTAACACAAAAACAGGGCTGGTAGAGTGACTCAAGTGGCAGAGCATCTGCCTAGCAAGTGTGAGGCTGAGTTCCAACCCACAGATAGATAATTAAATAAATAAATAAACAAAAAATTAACTTGAGGCCTGATCTGATCATTTATAACTTCGTTTTTTTCTTTTTTTTTTTTTAAACACTCAGCATTTTTGATTTTGCAAGTTGAAGGGATCTAGGGAAGATTACATGTTCTGGAATTCTTAAATAAAAATTGTAGCTACAGAAATTTTTGAACTTGGATAGCTTGAGTTTCTACTCAAGAAATTTTCAAATAAGTTAATACTTCCATTTTAAGCCTCCTTTTTGTTGTTGTTGTTCAGAGGGATCTAAGGATACTCAATGCCAAATATTTCTTTCAGTTAATCTTTTATAGTATGTGTGGTGCTAGAAGTAGATACATGATGCTTCTATTTTAAGTTGGCATTGGGTCAGACATATTTAAGCCCCTGCTCTTAACATGGGGTTAAAAAATAAGCATTCTCATACTTACTCTAAATCCATTGAGGTATTAATTATATAAACTAATTATCTAATCAATTACTTTGTGCAGCACAAAGAAATATGTGCTTATTATAGAGAAGACTGAGTAACAAAATTGGATGTTAAGTTTGTTGTTTGTGGCTCACACCTCTAATCCTAACTGCTTGGGAGACTGAGATCAGGAGATTGAAGTTTGAGGCCAGCCCTGAGCACATAAAGTTCTTGAGGCTCCAGCTCCAAAACAACCTGAGCAAAATGGACTGGAGGTGTGGCTCAAGTGGTAAAGCACCTGTTTTGGAAGTGTGAAGCCCTGAGTTCTAACCCCAGTCCCACAAAAAAAATTTTTTTTTTTTTTTTTTTGTTAATGATTGAAAATAGCACATGTACTTGCAGGTATAGATTTCTCCCGTTTTTATGAAATAGTGTTTAGAATATGCAGCAGTGTTGAAAGAATTATATTGAAACCCATATACCTATCACCTAGGTTCTACTAGTAATATATTTTACACTGACCAATCACACATTTACCCAAGTATCCATTTGTCAGAACATTTTGTTTTTTGATGAATTTCAAAGTAAGTTACAGATGTCACTATGCTTCTTCCTAAATACTTCAACATATGCATGCTATTAGTTAGGAGTTTACAAGAACGGATTTTTTAGCTTTGCATTTTCTTCTGAAGATCCTAAATAATTAGTAGTTAAGAAATTTGAATATTAAGTTATGGGGAAATTATCTTTATAAGAAATTAGTTGCAATAGAAAGTTTTAATGAATATTTCTAGTATCTGCTTTCACCTCGTTTACCCTTTTTGATATTGCTTTTAGTGGACTTTCCAGAAATCTGTTTTTAGTATGTTCCCCACCCTGGCTTACCTCTGATTTATTTTCAGGTTTAAAATTCATATCTTTTTCAAACCACCATTTCAAGTCATCTCATGTTAACATTTTGCTGCTTCTTTCTTCATTGCCCCATAATTTGAACTTGATATTATAGCAAATAGTAGTTATTTCTGATAATAGTTTGTTAGTTGAATTCATCAGCAAATGAAGACATTAATATTGTTAGTATCTTGACTACCTGATTCCTAAAATAAGTTTAAATTTTAGGACATCATTAGCTTTGTTAAACATACAGTTTGATTTTTCACATGTAAGCCATCTTAAATATACTGTCATTGGAGATAAGAGTTGTGGGTATTGTGCTTCATGTGTAATAGCACAGATTTCCAATATTACATTTTAAGATTGAAAATCTGGGCTGGCCATGGTGATTATATCTGTAATCTCAGCTACTTAGGAGGTGGAGTTTGGGAGGATCATGGTTTCAGACCAGCTTGAGCAAAAAGTTAGTGAAACCCCATCTCAACCAATAAGCTGGGTGTGGTGGACCACACCTGTCATCCCCAGCATAAATTGGAAGATTGGGCTGGCAGTGTGGCTCAAATGGCAGAGCGCCTGCCTAGCAAGCATGAGGCCCTGAGTTCAACTCCTAGTACCACCACCAAAAATACAAAAAAAAGATTGTGGTCCAGGCCAGCTGGGCAAAACACAAGTTTCTATTCCAAAAATAACTAAAGTAAAAAGGGCTGGGAGCGTGACTCAAGTAGTAGGATGCCTCCCTAGCAAACATGAGACCCTGAATTCAGTACCTCCAGAAAAATAAAAAAATAAAAATTGAAAATTTGCCAATGAGATAATTTTAAAGAATGAGCTATTTTCTTACACCTAATTTTTTGTATCATTTCTAATTTTCCTTCATCTTGCTGAGGTCTGGGTAGAAATTTAAATTTAGATATTCATAGATAGAAGTTTATGAAATTTACAATTGGTACATATTTCCATTATAGAGCAATAAAGAATCATTTTACTTTTGCTTCTTTCATTACATTTTCTGGTGCTTACATTTATCATTGATATTTAGTACAAAGAAATGTGCTGCATGCATTGAGTATTTTTCTATAAGTACTTTTTTTCCCTGATGTGCTATTTCACGTATCACAGGACTTACTTTTTGAACATTTGAGCAAAAGAAACAGATGAAACCTTATACAAAACCCTCCAAAATATGAAAATGTGGGGTTTATTTGTGTTAATGCTCTTCTTTTGGAAACATATGTATTAAAGGTAAGGTCAATTTATTGATTTAAACCACATAATATATACAATTTTATTATCAATGGTTAAACTTTGCAAGACGTTCTTGAAAGAAAAGATTTTTTAACTTGAGGTGTAAAACTATCTGAAATTGTCAGAAAGATTAAAATTAACTATTTCCAAGTTTTCTGAACTATCATGGGAAAATAATTTTCTGAAGCTAACTTATGTAAAAATTTGACTGGTTTAGAGCTTCGATATTATAATTTTCTAGGACCTAATGGTTGGTGATGAGGCAAGTGAGCTTCGCTCAATGTTAGAAGTTAACTACCCAATGGAGAATGGCATAGTACGAAACTGGGATGACATGAAACACTTATGGGACTATACATTTGGACCAGAGAAACTTAACATAGATACCAGAAATTGCAAAATCTTACTCACAGAACCTCCTATGAATCCAACTAAAAACAGAGAGAAGATTGTAGAGGTAAGTTTTTAGATGGGCATGTATGTTATCTCTGATATAATGTAAGAGAATTCTTTTTTTTACTGTTGTTACTGTGGATAAGGGGAATGAAAATAATTGTTTTTCACCAGCTCCTATTTATTTTACCTTTACTACAGGTTTAGTACCCCTTACTGAAATTCTGAAACTTTTTGAGCATTTTCATGATGCTCAAGAAGTTTTGGATTCTGGAGCATTTTAGATTGTGGGTTTTTAAGATTAGAAATCCTCAACCAGTGAAACCTGTACAGTATTCCAAAATCTGAAAAAAAACTGAAATCAGACACCTCTGGTCCCAAGCATTTCAGATAAGGAATTTTCAACATTTACATGCTAGTTATTATTCTAAGTAGGGTATGTCAGTACAAAAAACAAAATCCTGCTAACCTGAAGTTTATATTTTAGCAGGGGAAAACCACCCCTCCCCCCAAATAGCTGAGTTATTTAAGTAGTTTGTTAAGAGGTAGTAGATGCCAAAGGAAAAAAATAAGAGTATGCTAAGGAGAGTGGGGTTTGTAATTTTATATAGGCTGTGGTAGTACACTTCCATGTGGAAGTGTTGCTTATATGTTTTTACTAATTTATTTTTCTGGCGTTATTGGGGTTTGGACTCAGGGCTTCATGTTTGCCAGGGAGGTGCTCTGCCCCTTGAGCCATACCTCCAGCCTGTGAAAGTTGTGTTTAAACAAAGACAAAAAAGTCTTTGTTTTGGAACCACAAAGAAGCAGGTAAGTTAGCCAGGATATATGTCTGGGAAAAGAAGAAAATCCACAGATGCGCAGGATGCTTAGAGCTCAGTATTACACGGAAGAGGCGTGATTGAGTTTTTGCATAGTGCTGGCCACATGGTGCCGAACACATGGTGCCTTTCAGTAAGTCTTAAATTTTTACTTGATCCCTTCAGTTAAGCACATTAACTTTGACCTTACTTTTTGGGCATCATTTGCTTTTGGGGAGGCAGATTTTCACAAAATTAAGGACAGGGAAGCAAGTAGATCACATGATTTAAACACAACTGATGATAATGCAGTACTGACTGAGAGCTTCTCCACATGGACTGAGCTACAAACTGTGTGCATGGGAATTAAAATTTTTGGTTTTTGAATTTTTTATATTATTATTTTGGTCATGTTTGGTCAAAACCATGTATAGTAAATCTGTGAAATAAAGCAGAGTTGCCCTATAGCATCACTTCTATTTTTATCCCTGCAGAGGGGGATTTAAAGGATGATGTAATAGAATACTAGTCATAGTATCTACTTGTCTAATTGATGAATATGTATTACATATTCATTTTAAAAATTTAAATTCTCTATAGTTTTATGATCACTTGTAAAATTTCTGAATAAGAGCCATGCAGAGTGTGGCTCATGCCTGCAATCCTATCTACTCAGGAGGTGGAGATCAGAAAGATCATAAGAGCATAAGTAGAATGATCATGGTACAGGCTGACTTTGCTTAAATTTGAGACTCTATTCGTAAAATATGTAACATACAAAGGCCTGGCAGTGTGGCTCAAGTTGTAGAGTGCTTGCCTGACCAGGGCAAGGCCCTGAGTTCAAACCCCAGTACTGCCAAAAAAAAAAAAAAAAAAAAAGGCAGGTAGTTTGAATGGCAACTCTGCCAGTCAAAGAGTGCTCACTGTAGATGAATGACTGACTAAAAGCAATGATAAAAGGTGTTTCCAGCTTACCTGAGCTGCAGAGAATGAGCAGGGTGTGACCAGAGAGGGGAAGAAGAAACTTCATTGGGGTTATGGAGTTACAGCCTTGGCTTAAGTAGGTTCAGTAGGCTCTGCAGCTAAGCAGTTTGTGTATCTGCTGCTGTATTAATTGTATTATGTTTGTCTTCAGCTTCTCGTTTTACTTTTTACTTTTTCTGTTTTGTTTCTTTTCTGTGCTGGGGGTCAAACCTAGGGCTGAGACAGACAGGCACTCTACTACTAAATTATATCCCTATCCCTATTTTTTATTATTTGATTATTTTATTTGGAACTGTGTGGGTGGGGTAGAACCACAGTCTTAGGCCAGGTTGGAGATGGGTAGGAGGCTCAGTAGTTAAGCAATTTCTACTGTCTGTTTTGAATTAAAAGATATTTTCTGCTGGGCATGGTACACATCTGTAATCCCAGCAATCTGGAAGCTGAGGCAGAAGGTTCATGAGTTCAAGGCAGCTGGGCTACATAATGAGATCCTGCTTTAAAAAACCAAAAAAAGAAAGAAAAAAAAGATATGTCCATAAGGGACATTAATTAGGAAAGTCTCTTACATAATTAACCGTTAACTATAATACACTCTTTGTTTTGTAGCACTTATAAATGCTCGAAAACTCAATATGGATCCAAAATCTGCCCTCACAATTGGAGCTCTGAGATGGTAGGATTTTATTAGAGGCAAGAGGAACTAATTAGAATGGCGAATTCTTCAGGTCCTTTTGATTCTGTTTTGGTCAACTAATCCACTCAGCATGAAGAAAGCTTATAAATATGTAACTTTCTAAATGTCTTCTCTTCTTTTTTCTTTCTTCTCTGCATTTTCAGGTAATGTTTGAAACTTACCAGTTTTCTGGTGTGTATGTAGCCATCCAGGCAGTTCTGACTTTGTATGCTCAAGGTAGGTGAAGCTTAACTATTAAAAAAATTAATCCAGTAAACATTAAGTATATTTTATGCCAGGCAAATTTGATCTCTCTTTTAAGTTATAAACCAAAAGCACTTTATTTATATATCACATTGAAATTTTTCATAATTTTTCTATCATTTCTCAAAATATCATAGATTTTTGCTTGCTTTACTAAACAATGAAGATTTAAGGTAAAAAGAGGAATTCGATTTTTTTAAAAAATAGGGTATTTCCTCTTTTAATATTTAAAAATTTTATTCTTTGCGAAGAACATAAACATGCAATTTGTCCTCAGAATTGGCTTGAGTTTTAAAAAACAGATAAAGAAAGGCTAGCATTAAAAATCATGCTCATAATAGATTGGGTAAAAAGGGAGAGGATAGGCATTTTGGAGTGCATTCCTATTTTTTGAGCTGGATTTAATGAAAGAGACTAATGTTCTCTTGGTATTACCATTAGCATCTGCCTCCCTGTTTGGATGGAATGAGATATTGGCCATGTCAGGAGAGCTTTTCCTATTTTGGTGACCTTATAAATTCACCAGAAGCTTATTGAGAATTTATGGGGCTGTCAAATATGTACCACGGAGACTTTTAGGCATTTGAACTATAAAGATGCTGTCAGGAAACTTCTTATAGGAAAGATTCTGAAACACAGTTTGGTTTTGTCATGACAGACACTTTCTACTGGAGGAAATACCTGAACTAAGTCTCAAGTACTACCAGTGTCTATATGACATAGTACTAAGAATTGATGTATTATTTTGCTTTGATTGGTTCTTTTGTAACTTTTTTTTTTTTTTTTTTTTTTTTTCTTGGTCAGTACTGGGGCTTGAACTCAGGGCCTTCACCTTGAGCCACTCCACCAGCCCAATTTTTTGTGGTAAGGTTTTTTGAGATAGGATCTCAAGAACTATTTGCCTGTGCTGGCTTCAAACTGTGATCCTCCTGATCTCTGCCTCCTGAGTAGCTAGGATTACAGGCGTGAGCCACCAGCACCCTGGCTCTTTTGTAACTTTAAGAGTTAAGTTTTTCTTAAGTTGATACAAGAAAGAGTAGGAAATACTCTGGAGTTAGTAGGTATAGGTAAGAACTTTCTCAATGAAACCCCAGCAGCACAGCAACTAAGAGATAGCATAGATAAATGGGACCTCATAAAACTAAAAAGCTTCTGTACATCAAAAGAAATGGTCTCTAAACTGAAGAGAACACCCACAGAGTGGGAGAAAATATTTGCCAATTATACATCAGACAAAGGACTGATAACCAGAATATACAGGGAACTTAAAAAACTAAATTCTCCCAAAACTAATGAACCAATAAAGAAATGGGCACGTGAACTAAACAGAACTTTCTCAAAAGAAGAAATTCAAATGGCCAGAAAACACATGAAAAAATGCTCACCATCTCTAGCAATAAAGGAAATGCAAATTAAAACCACACTAAGATTCCACCTCACCCCTGTTAGAATAGCCATCATCAGCAACACCACCAACAACAGGTGTTGGCGAGGATGCGGGGAAAAAGGAACCCTCTTACACTGTTGGTGGGAATGTAGACTAGTACAACCACTCTGGAAAAAAATTTGGAGGCTACTTAAAAAGCTGGACATCGATCTACCATTTGATCCAGCAATACCACTCTTGGGGATATACCCAAAAGACTGTTACTCCAGAGGCACCTGCACATCCATGTTTATTGCGGCACTATTCACAATAGCCAAGTTATGGAAACAGCCAAGATGCCCCAGCACTGACGAATGGATTAAGAAAATGTGGTATCTATACACAATGGAATTTTATGCAGCCATGAAGAAGAACGAAATGTTATCATTCGCTGGTAAATGGATGGAATTGGAGAACATCATTCTGAGTGAGGTTAGCCTGGCCAAAAGACCAAAAATCGTATGTTCTCCCTCATATGTGGACATTAGATCAAGGGCAAACACAACAAGGGGATTGGACTATGAGCACATGATAAAAGCGAGAGCACACAAGGAGGGGTGAGGATAGGTAAGACACCTAAAAAACTAGCTAGCATTTGTTGCCCTTAATGCAGAGAAACTAAAGCAGATACCTTAAAGCAACTGAGGCCAATAGGAGAAGGGGACCAGGAACTAGAGAAAAGGTTAGATCAAAAAGAATTAACCTAGAAGGTAACACCCACGCACAGGAAATCAATGTGAGTCAATGCCCTGTATAGCTATCCTTATCTCAACCAGCAAAACCCCTTGTTCCTTTCTATTATTGCTTATACTCTCTCTACAACAAAATTAGAATAAGGGCAAAATAGTTTCTGCTGGTATTGAGGGGGGGGAGCGGGAGGGGGTGGAGTGGGTGGTAAGGGAGGGGGTGGGGGCAGGGGGGAGAAATGAACCAAGCCTTGTATGCACATATGAATAATAAAAGAAAAATGAAAAAAAAAAAGAAAATACACCTTTTCATAAAAAGAATAAAGACTAAAAATCACATTGAAAAAAAAAAAAGAGTTAAGTTTTTTTGCAATCTATCTGATTCTATACATGGATTAGTAAAAATCTTGTAAAAATACATTCTGGGTTTTTTAAGTATCTGAAGTACTACATATAGATACTTAGGAAATATTTGAGGGAATTAAAATTTTAAAGAAGCTTTATTTGTTTGCCAAATGCACTGTGTCTTCTACTCTGTTTAGTACAGAGTATATAATAGTAAGATAGACATGGTCTCCTTACCCTTAAGGTGATTGTAGTGCAGCTGTGAGTAGTTTTCCCTTTGAAGGAGGAGTCACTTATTCTGTAAGTTGGGAGGGAGTGCTTGTCTGCATTAGGTAACTATTTCACTTTTTAAAAATAACCTTTTAGAAATTGTATGTAATACTTTGGAGAAATTTAAAAATTTTTGAGTTTAAAGCATGAAAACTATAATAAGAGTTCCATCTTAACTGGGCACCAGTGGCTCATGCCTGTAATCCTAGCTACTCAGGAGGGAGAGATCAGGAGGAACTCAGCTCAAAGCCAGCTCTAGCAAATAGTTTGTGAGACCCTATCTCAAGAAAACCCTTCACAAAAAAGGGCTGGTGAAGTGGCTCAAGGTGTAGGCCTTAAGTTCAAGCCCAGTACTGAAAAAAAAAAAAAAATTCCATATTGGGGGTGGTGAGGTGAGACAATTCTGCTGAAAAAAATTTTCATTTGAATTCTAGTTGAAGAAAATGGACCTTGATACATTTTCCTAGCAATATAAATTTATTTTTGTTCAATAAAGATACCCTTTCTTAATTGTTAGTAGTAAGCTATTTTTTATTTAACTATTGAATCCTTTTGTAATTTTGAGAAATAAAAATTCAGTGATCTTAATTAACTCCAAACTATAGTAAAACTCTTCTTTTAAACCTGGTGGCTAGTACTGCCAGTTTAAAAAAATAATAAGAAGAATTAGAGATGTGGTTCAAGAGGTAGAGCACCTGCTTTGCAAGTATGAAGCCCTGAGTTCAAACTCCAGTTGCACCAAAGTAAGAAAAAGAAGAAATAATAAAAAGCATTCAGATCTGTAGAAAGTTTTCAGATAAAAGAACGACATGATGCCGGGTGCTACTCGGGAGGCAGAGATCAGGAGGATCAAGGTTCGAAGCCAGCCCAGGCAAATAGTTTCAGAGACCCTACCTCAAAAAAAAAAAAAATCACAAAAAAGGGCTGGTAGAGTGGCTCAAGGTGTAGGCCCTGAGTTCAAACTCCAGTACCACAAAAAAAAAAGAAAGAAGTGACATGGCGATTTGGGAAGCTATGTTTCGCTGTCTAGTACAGAGAATATTGAAGGGATTTGGGGAATCTTCTGGAGGTTAGAGTGGTCAGAGAAGATATAAATTCTTTCCTTAAGAATTTAAAGAAGAGATAGACATGAATCAGATGTGTTCAGGGAAAGGCCATAGCATATGGCCTGGTGGGAGTGGTAGAAGATAAAGTGAGGCTGGCAGGAAGGCTTTTTGGGAAATAAAATATAAATCCTTGCTGAAGTTAATATTATTGGGAGCATTTTTTAATAATGATCATGTAGCTTCCTTTTTTTTTACAGGATTGAAGGCAGTGAATCAGTTTTGTGAGGTTTATAGCATTGGTCAGAGAAAAACAAATTATATCCACTTAAAGTGGAAAAGGTTTAAATAAATTTATTCAAAGGCAAAGGTTAGCATTTAAATAGCTGGGCATGTTGTGGTGCCCACCTATCCCACTTGTCCTGTTATTCATCCCAAGCTACGTGGAAGGCTGAGGTTGAAAGAACCACAGTTTTAGGCCAGCCCACGCAAATAGTTCGAGAGACTCCATTTCCAAAATAACCAGAGGTTATTGGAAATAACCTGGAGGTGTGGCTCAGGTGGTAGAGCACCTGATTTGCAATCACAGAGACCTTAGTTCAAACCCCAGTCCTACCAAAAACAAAAACCCCAGATAATTATACACAGCAGTGCATGCAAATTTATATTAGTAAGAAAGAGAAAGGGAGAGAGCCATTCAGGGATGAGAAAATATTAAAAAGTTACAGATAATGCATATTCTGGTTAAATTTTTTCCTATTAAAAGATGTGAGAGCTGAGCGTGGTGGCATATACCTGTGATCCCTGTAAATGTGAAGCCCTGAGTTCAAACCCCAGTACTGACAAAAAAAAATTGTGAGCTACAAAAAATTTCTTTTTCCTCTGAATTAGCCCTAATGCGGCCATTTCTGCTTTTCAGTAGCATAAACCAGGTGAGTGGCGCACATGCCTATAATCTCAGCACTTGGTAGGCTTAGGTAGTAGGATTGCAAGTTTGAGGCCAGCCTGGGCTACAGCTATCTGATATCACCAGACATTTTTCCAAAACAACACTCAACTTTTTAATCTGTGACAAAATAACAGTATAATAAAGAACTAGGTCATTTGTTGGCTTTTTTGGGGTGGGGAGTGGAGGGAGTATTGTCAAACTCATGGGCTTAAGTGAGCCTCCTACTTCAGTCTTCCAAGTAGATGGGACTACATACAGGTGTGTACCACCAAACCTGGCAAGAACTAGATAATTTCAGTTCTCCTTCCTCCAAATTTGGAAGAATTTTACTGTGGCTTGGAATTAATTTCATTAATATCCTTGGGCTATTATTTCTCGGAATTAAGGAGAGATTTAACAGTTAAGGCATTCAGTCACTGTCCTGTAATTTTGTATAATATTCACTTGTAACAGCAATTTTCATAAAAGTTACCCATGGTACTTTTAAAATTTCACTTTAAGGGAAGTCAGCGATTAAGCTGGAAAGAAAAATAAAGAATTGGACTAAGCTTTAAGAATATGATCAAGGGCCTGGTGTGGTGGCTCATGTCCATAATCCCAGCTAGTCAGGCAGAGATCAGGAGGATCGTGATTTGAGGCCAACCCAGGCAAAAAAAAAGTTAATGAGACCCCCATCTCATCAAAACAAGCTGGGCTTGGTGGTATATGCCTGTCATCCTAGCTACAAGGGAGGCATAGGTATAAGGATTGCAGTCCAAGGCCGGCCCTGTGCAAAAAATAAGACTCTATCTGAAAAATTACCTGAAAGCAGAAAGGGCTGGAGTCAAGTGGCTGAGCACCTTCCTGGCAAGCACAAAGCTCTGAGTTCAAACACTAGTACTGCCAAAAAGAAAAGAGAGAGACAGAGTGCAAAATAAATAATAAAGAAGCACTGACTTCTAGGCCTTTCCAGTTGGTTAGTTTTCTAATTTGACACCTGCTCTATGTTCACAACTGCTAGCTTTGATTTTTCTGATTTGATCTTGTATTTAAAACCTTCTGATCCTTGTGCAGGTTTATTGACTGGTGTGGTGGTGGACTCTGGAGATGGTGTGACGCACATTTGCCCAGTGTATGAAGGCTTTTCTCTCCCTCATCTAACTAGGAGACTGGATATTGCTGGGAGGGATATTACCAGATACCTTATTAAGGTAAACGAAAGGAAAATAGTATAGAAATTGGTTTTTTTGTATTTTGTTTTCTGTACCTCTAGAGAAATTACCCAATTTCCCCATTATTCACATAAAAATCTGTCTATGATTTCCACACGTGATCTCTGGTATACTGGTGAGGAGATAATTACTTGCCCCTCTGGAGGAATGCTAGCTGGTCATTCCATGGGGTCTCATTAAGTCTTCTCTGTGTCACTGGGCTCCCTTCCCGAGTAATCCTCCACGTGAAGGGATGTTAAGTTACTGTACTCTTGTTCTAAGCCAAAATCCTGTCGGAGGTAAACAGCAGAGTTTCCGGGGGTCTTATTTTGGACATAAACACAAAAGTAAGGGTATTTCTTCTCTTACATATACAGAAAGTCTAGTTGTTCTATATCTAGTGTATAATAATGTATGTGGTTAAAAAATGGATGGCTGTCATTATTGCTGTCAGCTTAAGGACAATAATGAAATCATAATGCTTATCGTATTATTGTTGTTTCTTTTCTTAGTAGGTTGCTTTTAAAATAATATTTTCTGATCTTCTTTTGTGGTGCTGGGGATTGAACCCATGGCCTTTTGCTTTGCTAGACAAATGCTACCACTGAGCTATAACCCAGCCAATATTTTCTATCATTTAAGAAATAAAAAGGGGCCAGGTGCCAGTGACTCATACCTATAATCCTAGCTACTTGGGAGGCTGAGATCAGAGGATTATGGTTCAAGGCCAAACCGGGAAATAGTTTGAGAGACCCCCATCTCCAAAATAACCAGAGCAAAATGAACTGCAGGGCCTACCTTGCAAGTGTGAAACCCTGGGTTTGAATCACAGTACCACTAGAAAGAAAGAAAGACAGGAAGGAAAGAGGGAAGGAAGGAGGGAGGGAAGGAAGGAAGGAAAGCAGGGGGAGGGAGGGAAGGAAGGAGAGAGAGAGAGAGAAAGGGAGGGAGGGAGGAAGGAGAGGAAGAAAGGAAGACAGACTGTGAAGTGAACCATGCCTATAGTCCCAGATGCTTGGGAGGCTGAGGCAGGAGAATCCCTTGAGCCCTGTATTTCAAGCTTGGGCAACATACCAAGACTCCATCTCTAAAATAAAAACAAAGTTGAACATGATGGTACACTCCAGTAATCCTAGCACTCAGGAGGCTGAGGCAGAAGGGTTCTGTGTTCAAGGACAGCATAACTACATAAAGAGACCCTATCTTAAACTCGCCCCCAAAAACTAAAAAATAAAAAAAAAAAAAGGAAAAAATACAACACTAGAGGTTATAACTTCAAGTATCTCAATAATTCTTTTATTCAGTCGCTTATAAATTCTATCATCCTTACAATATATGCCAGACACAGTACAAGAAGCGAGTAGGGCCAGACGCCAGTGGCTCAGGCCTGTAATCCTAGCTATTCAGGAGGTAGAGATCAGGATTTCGGTTCGAAACCAGCTTGGGCAAATAGTTTGTAGACTCCGTGTCAAAAAAAAACCCATTACAAAAAGGGCTGTTGGAGTGACTCAAGTGGAAGAGCACCTGCCTAGCAAGCATGAAGCCCTGAGTTCAAACCCCAGTGTCATCCCTGCCAAAAATAAAGCCAGAGGCAGCTTTCTAAGACTCAAGGGTATTATTTCATAAATAAGGCATTGGTTAAATGAGAAAATGGCAGGTGGCATAGGTCCATTACCAACATAATATTTATTCAGTAATAAATTTTGTTTTAAATTTTTGGCAGTACTGGGGTTTGAACCCAGGGCCTTACACTTGCTAGGCATGAGATCTTACTGCTTGAGCCACTCTACCAGCAGTCTATTTTTGGTGTGTGTGATGGGTTTTTTGAGATATGGTCTCACAAACTATTTGCCCAGGGCAGACTTCGAACCTCTATCTTCCTCATCTCTGCCTCCTGAATAGCTAGGATTGATTATAGGCATGAGCCACTAGCACTCATCTATTAATAAACTTTTGATCATGAAATGTTTATCAACACTAAACATTAATACATGAATAGTGGTGCTTTTTAAAAAAAGACTTTTTTGCTTGTTTTACCCATTTATTATTCATGAAATATTCTGATATTCTCTGTAAAAATGAAATACAAATTCTTTTATGACAGATAAAATTCTCATTTCTGAAGTTTTCAGTAAGAACTGAGGATAGCCAGTTGTGTTTGTTATCAATGTGACATTTAAAAAGCATTAACTTGCACAGTGGAACTCATTCAGATCCGTTAGGAACTTACTGCTATTTTTTTTTTTTTTTGTACCAGCTGCTTCTGTTGCGAGGATATGCATTCAACCATTCTGCTGATTTTGAAACAGTTCGCATGATTAAAGAAAAACTGTGTTATGTGGGATACAATATTGAGCAAGAGCAGAAACTGGCCTTGGAAACCACAGTATTAGTTGAATCGTACACAGTAAGTATATCAAATGGACAGTTAGGGAAGGGAGGATAAAGGAGAATGAACTTTTGTAAATGTCACACTGTACCCCCAGTACAACAATAATAAAAATAAATTACAAACAATAAAAATAAAAATGGACAGCCATGGTTTTTGGTGTCAGCTTAAGGACATCAGTGAGTTTTTTGTTTTGTTTGATACTGGGGATCAAACCCAGGGCTTTGTGCATAGCTGCCTCTGAGCTCTATCCCTAGCCCTTGAAATCAGTACTTTTGATTTTTTTTGTGTAATATTTTATGTACATGACTTTTAAATATCTCTTCCTATATTAAGATTCTGAGATTTAATTACTTTGGGACACCATACAATGCAAATCAATGTAAGAATCATAAGTTACTTTCTACCTTAGAATATAATTTGATGTGAGATGTTATTTTGAGATTCTAGCATCTGGGATAGCATTTCTCAGACTGTTTTCAGAATGTTATTTCCCTGAGCTGTTAATAAGAGTCTCACAAAATTAGTCGGGTGCTGGTGGCTCTTGCCTGTGATTCTAGCTACTTGGGAAGCTGACATCAGGAGGATCTTGGTTTGAGGCCAGCATGATCAGATAATTTTCAAGCCCCATTTCCAAAACAACCAGGGCAAAATGGACAGGAGGTGTGGCTCAATCAGTAGAGTGCCTGCTTTGCAAGCCCAAAGCCCTGTTTTCAAACCCCAGTCCCACCAAAATAAACAAATAAATAAATAGCTTTGCCGGATACCCATGGCTCATGCCTGTAATCCTGTCTACTCAGGAGGCAGAGTTCAGGAGGATCATGGTTCCAAGCCAGCTCAGGCAAACAGTTTGTGGGACTCTATCTTGAAAAACCCATCACAAAAACAGGACTGGTGGAATAGCTCAAGGTTGTAGGCCCTGAGTTCAAACCTCATACAGCCCAAAAAATAAAAAAGGTCACAAAATTAAAAACAGTAACTGTTAAAGAGACAGTTGATTTTACTTTCCTGCAAGAGTCTCAGACCCTTTGATTTACTAATATGTATGCAACTGTGAGAATGTAGTATCCCTGTTTCATTAAACTGTAGCTAATGATTTGTTTTTTTGTGATACTGGAGTTTGAACTCAGGGCCCACGCCTTGAGCCCCTCACTCCACCAGCCATTTTTGGTGAAGGGTTTTTTCAAGATAGGGCTTGTGAACTGTTTGCCTGCGTTAGCTTTGGACTGTGACCCTCTTGATCTCTGCTCCTGAGTTAAAGTATTGCTTTATTAATTCAGCGGTGGTGGCCTTCACTGACTTAATACCTTCTGGGTTTTTTATATTTGTTTTATTTTGGTGATAATGAGGTTTGAATTTGAGAGTTTTACAAGGCAGGAGCTGTATACTGCTCTTTTTTTTTTTTTTTTTTTTTTTGACTGAATACTTTTTAATGAGGTATTCAAAATAAATGTTAACCTGAAAGTGTAACTAGGAAGACTTAGCACCTATCTATCATAGTTTACACTGGGGGATTCAGTCCTACTGAATGTCTTGTTTTTTTTTTAAATTTGGTGTTACTGAGGTTTGAACTCAGGGCCTCATATTTGCTAAGCAGGCACTCTTACTGCTTGAGCCATTCCACCAGCCCCTACCTGAATTTTTGGTTAACATTGTAAGTCTTTTTCAATTCTCTGATATAAAGTACTTCCATATGTGATCTTTGATCTGAAATGAAATAATACTGTTTAACCCTGTGATCCTTGTTAGCTCTACTTATTCACAAATATGTGCAATATAATCATTTTTAAAGCAATTTTGAATTTTTATAGTTTTTTAAAGATATAAATCCAAGTACACAATAAAACTTACTTTGTAACTTAGTGATCTCCAGATTTGCCCTGGAAATTCTTTCCATGAAATTTTTTTGACAGTTCCTCTAGATTTCTAATTTTTCCATCTTCCTGAATTGTTTGGAAGAAAGTAGGCAAATCATAAAAGGACTAAAAACGTAAAACATGTTTTATTTATTTCTTCCTTACTTTCCCATCAATTTAAGATACATTACAAAAACACATACAAATTGTCCAGGTACTGGTAGCCACTCCTGTAATCCTAGCTACTTAGGAGGCAGAAATCAGGAGGATCAAGGTTCAAGGTCTGCCCGGGCAAATAGATTCAGAGGTCCTGTCTCAAAAATACCCAACACAGAAAAGGGCTAATGGAGTGGCTCAAGTGGTAGAGCGCGGGTGAGGCCCTGAGTTCAAGCCCCAGTACCAACAAAAAAAATGTAAGTGTAAGTAAACTGATGAGTAAGTGAGAAGGGACGGGGTAGATAAATACAGAGTAAGATAAGATTTAAGGTTCTCAGTGTAGCTGGGCACAGTGTCATAAACCTATAATCCTAGCTATTCTGGAGGCTGAAGCAAGAGGATTACTTGAGCCCAGGAGTTTGGGGCCATCCTGGCTCATGACTGTAATCCTAGCTACTTGGGAGGCAGTTTAATAGTTTAATAGTTCAAGAGACTCTATCTCCAAAATAACCAGAGCAAAATAGACTGGAGGTGTGGCTCAAGCAATAGACAAAGCCCTGAGCTCTAATCCCAGTATGCCAAAAAAAAAAAAAAGAAAAGAAAAGAAAGAAAATCAATGCAATCTATAAAAAGGTAATTCTGGGGTTTTTAAAAAATGTGATTCCTTTGCACATATTCATGGACAATTTGATTTATAAATAAATGTAGAAATGGTTATGTAAAACTAATTCTGGTATTTTGTGTAGAAACATGGCAAATACTGGCATACCTGAGCATGCTTGTTACTTAAGTCAGCCCAGTGAGTTAGAAGGTGGTAGAAGAAAGTTTATATTTATATCTCTGATTTAATTCAATGGAAACATGTGATAAGAGTTTTCTGTGCAGGTCATATTGATTTGATGTTGATCCTGCTGTTTAAATCTTACTGTCTTAAAATAAAATTATGCTTATCAGTTACTTAAAATGTAGGACATAACAAAATTGCCTTATTAAAAATAGTCTAGATCAATGTTTTTTAAACTCCTTTTTTTTTTTTTTGATACAGGGTCTCGTTGTATAGCCCAGGCTGACCTCAAACTTGAAATTTTTCTGCCTCCATTTTCTGAATGCTGGGATTACGGGCGTGTACCACCATATCCAGTCTTAAACTTATTTTTAAATTTATATATTTCTACAATTTTCCCCACTCACCCCCACCTTTGGTGGTACTGGAGTTTGAACTCAGGGCTTCATGCTTGCTAGGCAGGTGCTCTAACACATGAGCTACTCCACCAACACTAAACTTTTTTATTGAAATCATATCACAGATTAAATTTTTTATCTAAGTAGCACACACAATATTTTGATGGCAAAATAATAGTTTCACAGAGTATTTGGTGAAAGAAAATTCTGTTTTGTTTTTAATCGGTTCGTATTTCTTTCCTAGTGCTACTATTAAATTACCACAAACTTCCTGGTTTTTGTGGTACTGGGATTTGAACTCAGGATTCAGGGCCTTATATTTGCTGTTCGAGCCATTCCGCCAGCCCTGGTTTATTTTATTTTTTTACTTTTTTTTTTTTTTTAATTATTATTTTCATTATTTTTGTACTAGGGGTACATTGTGATGTTTACGAAAATTATTACAATGTGTCATAGTTGAATTCATTCCCTCCATCATTTTCCTTTACCCCCTCTCCCTCAAGAAAATTATTTAAAATGTTTAATGTGTCTATTCTATGTGGGACAAATATCTATAAACTCACAAAAACATTGAAATTTTAAAACAAGCAGCATAAATTCATACCAGCAATAATCAGAATACAGTGGTTGGTCAATAACGCCTGTTTATGCTTTGTTGCACGTACACATGAAATGACATGTACATGTACACATTCATGATTTCTCCAAGAAATTCCTGATATTTTGGGGTATGACATACCATTTTTAAAAACGAGCGAGCATGATAATAAGAACACTTGTCCAAATATATTTTACCTTTTTTTTAACCCTCAAAATATTATTTTAGGAAAAACTATTGCTGTTAATGATTTTGGCTACAGAACAGATATGTTTAAAAGTTCTAATGTTCTGGAGAACACTGGGAAATTTTGGTCTCTTCTGCCAACTAGTACCTGGTTATTTTTCGTTGTAGCTCCCAGATGGACGAATTATTAAAGTTGGGGGAGAGAGATTCGAAGCACCAGAAGCTTTATTTCAGCCTCATTTGATCAATGTCGAGGGAGTTGGTGTTGCTGAGTTGCTTTTTAACACAATCCAGGCGGCTGACATTGATACAAGGTACATTAGAAATGGTGGTTTCCAAGTTGTCAGAAATAGATGGACTACAAGTAGAATGAACAAGTTACCTATTACTTGTGTTTTTGATAGGGTGGTACTGGATATTAAACAATATATCGCATCATTGTGTCTCAGAAGCCACTTTAAACTTACATTGAAATAATTTCAAACTTACAGAAAAGTAGCAAGAATAATACAAAAAACACATGTATGCCCTTTTTCTGCTCTCAGCATATTACTAATTTTAATGTCCTGCATTTTTGCTTTATCATTGTCTCTTTTTCCTGAATCATTTGAGAGTAGATTGAATATATCAGTACTCTTTAACCAGTTTGTGTTCTTAAGGAAAAGAAAAAATACTTTCTTACACAGTTCAGTTTAGTTAATGAGTTTGAGAGGTTTATTATTGATAATACTTTAATCTACCAGCCATATTTCAGTTTCATCCGTTGTCTCCATAATGTCCTTTTTTCTATGTAAGATGAGATCAAGGCTCACACATTGTATTTAGTTGTCAGGTTTCTGTTTTTTGTTTGTGTGTTTCGGGGGATTGAACCCAGGGCCTTGCACATGCTACGCAAGCCTTCTTCCATATGAGCCATGCCGCAGCCCTTAGTCTTTTAGTCACCTTTTCATGTAAGTCTCTTAATTTGGGTTTGTTTTTGCATAATCCAGGTTGTGCATTTTTTGCTAGGATATTTTGCCTTAAGACAAAGGAACAAAAGGGAAAACTGCAAATGGAAAATCGAAAAGCAGAAAGTCAAAGTAGAATATGGCTAATTATAGTAAATAATTATATACATAATTATAACGTGTACTATATGTGTTCTGTAGCATGCATGTTTTATATATACACATATATGTATGTAATTTTACTGAATTCTCCCAGCCACCCCCGAAGGCTGACGTGAATAATAATAAACCTAGCACCAGCCACATTGGGAGGCTGAGGCAGGAGGATCACTTGAGTCCAAAATTTTTTTAGGTTTTTTTTGTTTTGTTTTTTAGTTTTTTGTTTTTTGGTTTTTTGATGGTATTGGGGTTTGAACTCAAGGCCTCATGCTTGCTAGGCAGATGCTCTATCACTTGAGCCACTCCTCCAGTCTTTTTGTTATTTTTTGAGACAGGGTTTCACTATGTATCCCAGACTAGCCTAGAACTCTGATCCTCCTGCCTCAGCTTCCCAAGATTAAATGTCTGTGCCATCACCCCTAACCAAAAAAATTTTTATTTAAAAAAAAAGAAGCCAGGTGCTGGTGGCTCATGCCTATAATTCTTGTTACTTGGGGGACTAAAATTGGGAGGATTAAAGTTCAAGGTTAGCCTGGGCAAATAGTTCAAGAGACCCCATCCCCAAAATAGCCAGAGCAAAATGTACTGAGGTGTGGTTCAAGTGGTAGAGCACCTGCTTTGCAAGTGGGAAGCCATGAGTTCAAACCCCAGTCCCACCAAAAAAAAAAAAAAAAAAGACAGTAACCCTGAGATACTATAAATACCCATGTGTCTTTCTAGGTCTGAATTCTATAAACACATTGTGCTTTCTGGAGGATCTACTATGTATCCTGGCCTGCCCTCGAGGTTGGAGCGAGAACTTAAACAGCTTTACTTAGAACGAGTTTTAAAAGGAGATGTGGAAAAACTTTCTGTAAGTACCAGTAACATTCTTTTAAAACCCTGTAAGGAGCTTGTGAATCTTGACAACCACCAGGGGGAGCAAAATGTCTTCTAAACAAATTCCCACTTCAGTTAAGTACAGCCTAGAAGAGAAGAGATGGAAGTAAAGGGTTCAAGGGAAAGAACAGTGGTTCTACCAGGTCACCTCTGTGTTCAGTGAATAGAGGTGAGTAGGTCCAGGGCCAAATGTCCTAGTTCATCAGTAATGATCAGCCTGGCCTCCAAGGTGTCTGTAAGTACATGGGAAGAACCTGATAGACTGTGAAGAGATAAATGCCCCACTATGGGTTGTTTCATTTTTAACTTTCTGAATATGTAATCAGCCTTCATCACTATTCTTAGTCTATGTTGTAATTCTGATTTTAGGGATTTTTTTTTTTTTCTGTGTATTTCTTGTATGTGTTTATCTCCGTAATCATGTCTTTTGCATCCAAATAACCATCATACCTCTTGAAAGAGACTTTACTGGTAATTGTTGATATGTACAGCAGAAAGTTTTAAGCTAGGATATAATTGTTAATGATTCTTTGTCATGGGTTTCTCCCCAATCCAAATTGTGTCAAGTTCCAGAGTAAGTCATCTTGGGTTAATTCTGTGGTTTGTCTCACTTTCTCTGGTCAATCTTTTGAGATAATGAGATTCCATATTATGGAGTACTGTATGTTTTAGAAACACTAATGTTACATCTTTCATATATGACTCAAATTGCTGAAATTAAATTGAGTATGGGCTCACATACGTTAACCAAATTAGAAGAACCATGGGAAGGAGCCATGTTGTCTAAGTGCTTCACTCATTTTTCTGATTTTATTAAATTATACATATAATTTAAAATCCATCTCAGGTGATCATTTATTTATTCAGCAAACATTTCTTTCTTTCTTTTTTGCAGCATTAGGGCTTGAGCCCAGAGCCTTGTACAGCTAGGCAAGCACTGTACCATTGAGCCCAGCTCAGCAAACATTTCTTGAATTCATCTAGTTACCAAACACTTGTCCAGGTGCTGGGGACAGACAAAACAGTGGTAAACAAAATGAAAATCCCTGCTTTCAATGTAAATAATTTATCAGTAGTAATATGCTATGAAGAAAATTGAAGCAAGATTAGGGTGCTAGAAAGTGGTAGTGAGCCATAGCCTGGTGACTCATGCCGATAATCCTAGCTCCTCAGGAAGAGGATCAGGAGAATTACAATTCAAAGCCAGCCACAGGCAAACAGTTCTGGAGACCCTGTCTCAGAAAAAACACATCACAAGAAAGGACTGGCTCGAGTGGTAGAGTGCCTTCCTAGCAAGTGTGAGGCCCTGAGTTCAAACTCCAGTGACACCAAAAAGAAAAAAAAGAAACTAATAGTGGTTGTAAAGTGTTCCTTACCACTAATCAGGAAGGCCTCTTGCATGAGGTAACTTAATCATTGCCTATATGGAGTGAGCATATGACTTTTTGAGGGGAGAAAATTCTCCAGGCAGGAATAGGGCAAAAGCCTGGAGTTGATGGAAGTGACCCAATGTGACTGGAGCAAAGTGAGCAAGGGAGAGGAGTGGGAGATGAGGTCAGAAGGGTAGCAGGGGGCAGGTCTTGTTTGGCCATGGTAAGGATAGAAAACCTTGGGAAGGTTTTGAACAGAGAAATGATAGTATCTGACTTATGTTTTAAAAGGACCAGTAAATAATGAATAGACTGTTAGGAAGAAGAAAACAAAGGTGTATGGAGAAAAACCAGTTAGGAGGCTGTGAGAGATTCAAATTGAAGGAGGATGACATGATTATCTTAGAAAATGGAGAAATGTAATAGAATTACCAAACAGCACTAAAAGCCCAATTGAGGTTAGTGATACTTTTTTTTTGGTGCTACTGGAGTTTGAACTCAGGGACTTGCACTTGCTAATAAACAGGCGCTCTACAACTTGAGCCATGCCTCCAGCCTGATAGATTTAAAGCATGATGTTGAGTTTCCTTCCTGTCCTGTTCAGCTCCTTGAGGACAGGTACAAATTAGAGAGCAGATTATCTTGAGTTGGTGTTTACCAAGTGACTTACGAGGGAGAGAAGGACAGACTCACCAAGGTGGGCAAATTATATCCCTATATATTTTGTTGGAACACAACCAACCCCATTTGTTTCCATAGTGTTATCTGTTGTCACATATTGTCTATGGCTGTTTATAGCTACACATGGATTTGTGTAGTTGCCACAGAGACTCTAAAAGCCTCATGTTTGTACCATCCAACCCATCATAAAAATGTTTGCCAGTCAGATGTGGTAGCATATGTCTATAATCCCAGCATTTGGGAGGCAGGCAGGAGAATTACATGTTTGAGGCCAGCTTGGGCTACTTTAGCAAGACCCTGACTCTACTGGATACCAGAGATCAGGAAGATCGAGGTTCAAAGCCAGCCCTGGACAAATAGTTCAAGAGACCCTATCTCAAAAAAACCCATCACAAAACAGGACTGGCGGAGTGACTCAAGTGGTAAGAGTGCCTGCCTAGCAAGTATGAAGCCCTGAGTTCAAATCCCAGTACCAGGAAAAAAAAAAGAAAGAAAGAAAAAATCAAAAGATCCTGTTTCCAAACAAACAATGTTTTCCAACCTAAAAGCAAAATAAATAGAAGCCAAGCGGAGTAGGTATGCTTGTGGTCCTAGCACTTGGGAGGCTGAGGCAGGTGGGTTGAAAGTTCAAGCCCAGCCTGGGCTACTAGTGAGAACTTGTCTCAAAACATAAATAAAACAGTTAGAATGTAGATTGGTCTCAGAATTGACTAATTACTAATAAACTGGTGTTTTCTCATGTTACACATTTTCATATCCCTACATTTTGTTTGTGACATGAAGACATAATTCAGAATGAGAGTTTCTTCGAGTCTTTGTTTTTTCTAGGATTTGTAACACTAAGTAAAAATTTCCAAGCCATTTTAAGGTTCACTTTCAGGTACAGCAAGCAGATTACGGTATGACCTTTTTAGACAATTAATAATAGCAACAGAGTATAAAACTTCCCAGTAATCTTTGTGGTTTTGTTTGCTTGTTCTCAAACTCTGTAATCTTTCTGCCTCAGCTTCCCAAGTGCTGGGATTACAGGCATATACCACCACAATCTTGGGTACTATGTTCATTTTTCTCAACATCCTCATGATTTGTTTTGACTGTATTTGGCCTTATTTATTTTGAGAACATTTCTTTTGAATTTGAGACAATAGAAAGTATGCTTTGCTTAGAAGAAAAGACTTAGAGCTGGGGAGCATGGCTTAGTGATAGGTCAAGTGAGCATGCATGAGGCTCTGGGTTCAGTCCCAGCCCCCAACCCCAAACCCCCTCAAAAAAGAAAGAAAAGTTCAGTCTTACTTGTTGCACCACACTAGAATCATAGGGGCATTAGGCCTCGAAGAAACCACATAAGCCCTCTTCTCAGGCTTCAGTTCACAGTTCAGATACCAAGGGGAAAATCCACCATAATCATACCTCTTGGTATTTACATTCTCAATACAGTGACTGGTTGTATAATTCATCATTCAAATCAGAACACTGAAAAAGTGGTACTATTAATAATGATGGGACAACAAGTGTGTGTGGTCTTCTAATTGTGAGCTTGGGGCAAATTCCTAAGTGTCTGTACCTCACTTCTCTTTTACTGCTGGGCTGCAGTGTGATTCAAGAGGATACATGGAAAAGTAATTGTCACGAAGCTGAAAGCACTGCGCACATGTGACGTCATACTATCCTCTCTCTCCTTTAGAAATTTAAGATCCGAATTGAAGACCCACCCCGCAGAAAGCACATGGTATTCCTGGGTGGTGCAGTCCTGGCCGACATCATGAAAGACAAAGACAACTTTTGGATGACCCGACAAGAGTACCAAGAAAAGGGTGTCCGCGTGCTGGAGAAACTTGGTGTGACAGTGCGATAAACTGCAAGGCTTGTTTCCATCACACCCCTAACGCTTTCTTTTTTCCTCTATTGCCAATCTTTGAACTCATTCAACTTCAGGATGTGGAACAGGCCTCTCTGTGCCCTTTGACTGGAAAGGTCAAGTTTTATTCTGGTGTATTGGGAAAGCTTTGTTGAATTTTTGTTAATGTGGGTTAATCTGGCTGTTTAATGCAACCACTTCCCTACAAGCAACCGGAGGGCAAAGGGTCCTGTCTGCTGCTTTGTTTCCTCTAAGTAAGCATTTAGATCTCTCCTGTAGGCTTCCTATTTTCACTTTACTGCTCTAATGCTGCTAGTTTAGTCTTTAGCACAGTAGGTGGTATGCCTCTATTAGCATAAGAAAAAACTTCCACAGGAGCTTTTACATATTACTGGGTGGGGGGATGGTTAGGGATGGGTGGGCAGCCCTTGAACCCTTTAGGGTATTTTCTCTGTAGCTGTGCTTTCAACAGATACTGCTGTAGCTTTACATACTTTAAAGCTTCTCCTATTAACATCTTAGTGAAATATTAAGCTCAGAACTAAAGTGTTTTGGGTAGGTTTTGTGTGGTGGAGGGAGTGGGTGGTCTCTTGATTGTGATTTTTGAGGTTTTCTGCTCCAGGGTACATAGGATGAACCTTATTTACAGTACTTTGAATTGGCAAATTTTCTTTTGATCTGTCTGGAACTGATTCTATATGATAAGCAAGTGTAGTATTCTATTACCATGTGGCTTAAGGGATTTATTTGTTTTTAAAAATCAGTGATATCGGCTGGGACTAGACTCCCTAGAATCTATCAATGGAAAAGTAACTTTTAAAAACACTTTTTAAAATTTGAATTACAGATAAAAAAGTGTTTGAGAACTGGTGTTTTCTAAATGCTTCTATTTATTTCAGAAGCATTAAGAAGTAGTAATCCAGTGCTAAGCACCATTCTTGCAAATTACTCTTTTATGTAACTGATCAGTGCTTGTTTAATAAAACACGCAGATGCATGTACATAATTACTGGCAGTAGGTCATAATTGTTGTGTTAAAAATGACATTGGAATATGGGACTTGATGCCAGTTGAATCATTTTCATTTTTGTTTGTTTTGATTTGAGACCTGGAAGTGGAATAAAATTTGACTATTTAAAATGTTGGCCAAAAGCAATCAAGATTTAAATATGCATTTTTACTGAAAACTAATCATAACTGCTAATTTGTAGCCATCTTTCATACTTGAAAGAAGAGTGGCTGGAATTTTGTAAATATTGGCAAACCTTCCTGCCTGTGTCAGTGAACCCTACTTATAAGTCCAGTTGTCACTGCTTGCTGTCTGAGAAAATATCAGTTAGCACCCAAATGGGAGTTCTTTCTAAATTTGAAAAATAAAATAATGAGAAACTATATCTCACTAAATACAAAGTGCTGATTTGGGGGAAAATGTTTTCCTTCATTTCAAAATATTCTTTTCTAATAATGGATTTGAAAGAAATGGCTTAATTTTTTGGAAGACAAATCAGAAACTGGCTTGAGAGTCTCTTAAAAATTAGTTTATTATATAATTAGCAAAAGATTAGCTTTAATTATGTAGCTTCTGTTACTATTAAGTATTTTCTGTCTGTTTTACCTCAATTTGAACAAATAAAAAAGTTTGTGTGCATGCTGGACATGCTTCAGTACACATGAATAGCCCATGAATAAGTCTTCTAGATCCTGAGTACAGGGCTCTCAGAATCACTTAGGAGTTCTCAAGTTTCCTAAATTATGTTCTCAGAAATATCCGAACCTTTTGTGTCCTGGGCTTGTTAAAGGACACAAACTGTATGTAGGACCAGTACCTACTGACTGTTCAGTTCGGTTAAATGGGTTGACACTTGGCCTTTGGTCATGATTTTACAGTATGTTGGTAAAAAACAACAAGGAATGGAATGGACTCTTAAATACAACAGTGAAACATTTATCATTTGTACCTTGAATATAGAATTTTTTGACAGTTAAAATGGTGTACTTATATATGTAATAATTTAGAAATTCCATTTTATAGTTTCCTATTCTAAAGTGAAATAATGCATTTGATAATTTGGAATTTGGGAGGTATTATGTTTAGTTGGAGTTGTCAGCTATGAGTCCCTCAGAAATTAAAATCATTTTAAAAGAGATCTGAAACCTGTTGTCACTTAGATTTCCAGTGATTAAAATTCTTGTTTTTTTTTTTTAAATTTAGAATCACCAATGCCTTGAAGGGTTTCTTAGGAAGTGTGGTATTGGATATTAACTTTTATACAGTTCTGAGCACTGTACCTGGAAAGTATTTTGAAAGATTAGTGGAAAGCTAAAATTCTACATTTAACTTGAATACACTCTTTTTGATTCAGAAAAATAAATCAGATTTTTCAAAGTAAACTTGAATTTTGTGTTTGTTTTTTCTTTTAATAGGTTTTCTCTTTAATTTCATTTTATTTTTATTCAGATTTTCATTTTTGCTAATGCAAGATGGTTTGAGAACTTTATGCTAGTTGTTAGGTCAAGTTCAGTATTCAGTTGTTAACAAAACCCATTATTGTATGATTTTAGATACATATGGGAAAAAAGCTAGAAAAGAGAGCACATTACAGCTACATTAGAGATCTTTTTTCTTCCAACACAGTTTTGTTTCCCAGGAGATTTCAGGTGGCTTTCACAGAATAAGCAAGCTTGATGGGCCTGTGTGAGAATGCATGCCTCTTTTCAGGGGCAGTTTAGCTCATCTGCATACAGACTTTTAGGCAAGTGTTTTTTTCTTCTTGGCTTTTTTTTTTTTTTTTTTTGGTGGGGGGGTGGATACTGGTGATAGAACTCAGGGCCTTGTGCATGTTAGGCAAATACTTGACCACTGAGCTACATCCCCAGCTCCCAGGTACATATTATTTTTAACAAAATATCTAAAGCAAAATGAAAAAAATTTTTTTGATGGAACTGGAGTTTGAATTCAGGGCTTAGCACCTGCAAAGCAGGCACTCCACTACTTGAGGTACTTCTACAGTCTCTTTTGCTCTGGTTATTTTGAAGATGGGGTGTCTCCAACTATTCCAACTCTTTGCCTGGACTGGCCTAGAACCTCAGTCCTCCCAGTCTCGGCCTCCCAAGTAGCTAGGATTACAGGCCTGAGCCACTGAGGCCCAGCAGGATGAAAATATATTTAAATGACTCTTGCATTATTCTGCCCTTGAAAATGAGGGCTGGAAGAATGATGGAGGGGGTGAATTCAGTTGTGATGTTTGTATGAACTTTTGTAAATGTCACAATGTACTCCCAGTACAACAATAATATAATAAAAAAAAAGAAAAGAAAATGAAGGCTGGCGAGTAGAGTATTTTTTTATCTCTTCTGAATCACCTGAAGAATAATGATAGAGAAAGGATAAATCTGGCACTGTGTAGTGTTGTCTTTGGTAGAGTGAATGTCTCAGTGCTCTTCTTTTTTTCTTTTTCCATTCAAAGATTTTGCTGTACAATTGAGTGAGTGTGTGTCTGTAATCCCAGCACTTGGGAGGCTGAGGCAGGAAGATCTTGAGTTTGAGGCCAGCCTGGGCTACATAGTAAGACCCTGTCTCAAAACAACAACCACCAAAACCAAAAAAAGGATCCAACTAAAATGAACCAGAAACTTAAAAGAATTGGCCTTAGCTAGCTCATTATTTAAAATGCTATCTAAACCTTGGATTAGCACTAGCTACCATACTGGGGTTTGTAAAAGATCACTTTTTCCCTCTGGCTCAAATTCCTTGACCTAGGTAAATAGAGGAAGTGAGGGTGAGGGAAATAATACTAGTGATTTACCATGTTTACGTGTGTGAATAATACTAGTGATTTTACAATTGCAAGTAACCAAAATAGAATAGAAATAACTTCAGTTGGGGAGACAAAGGGAGCTATTATGTGAATTTCAGTGACTTGCGTTCAGCTCAACATTTTTAAAGCATCTTTCTCTGCATTATATAGCATCTGAAATCAGGAAGAAAGAAGCTTTGACCTGTAGTTAACTTTTGTTTAAATCATCTTCATAGCAGTTAGAAAAAGTCTGTACCTATTATAAGTATCTCAGTTTGTGTTATCCTCAAATGTAAAATATCTAACTGGGTAAGGGGAATCCAAACAATTTCTCTCTCTTGGCAGAACAGACTTCCTGTCTTTCATATCTATCCCCTCTACTCCCACCCACCAGAAGAAAAAGGAAAGCCTGGAAAGAACTTTGCATATGATTTTCCACAAAGGACTTGAAGTAAGAAAAGAATAGAGAGTGTTTCACCTATGCCTGATCAGTTGAAAAGTGTGGGTTTGAGAGTGCAGGAACGTATCACAGCGGTAGTGCCACACAGGCATTGAGAACTGTGCCTTTACTTTTAACATCGGGGGTGCTTCGGCCAGATGAATACTTCTCTTAAGAATAGGGATTTGAAAAAGAGGGCCCCAACTTCAAGAATAAAAGTCCTATGTACAAAGAAGCAATTAGAAATGTTTGGGTTGGCAGAGTGACTCAAGTGTGGCCCTGAGTTCAAACCCCAGTACCACCAAGCAAAAAAAAAAAAATACCAAATGTTGAAGTTTTAAGCAGTTAGTATAGGAGATTCTGAAGTTACAGTCTGCCATGATATTAATATGGTTATTTTGAAGGGCTGGAGGTGTGGCTCAAAATGGTAGAGTACCTGCCTGGTAAGGGCAAAGACCTGAGTTCAAACCCCAGCACCACAAAAAAAAAAAAAAAAAAAAAATATGGTTATTTTGTGAAAGATTTTTTTTTTTTTCTGGAGGCACTAGAGTTTGAACTCAGGGCCTCACACTTACTAGGCAGGCATTCCCCTACTTGAGCCACTCTGCCAGCCCTTTTTTGCATTGGGTATTTTTGCCTAGGCTGGCTTTGAACCGAGATCCTCTTGATGTCTGCCTTCTGACAGGCAGACATCTGGCAGGGAAAGATGTTTTGTTGGGGCTGGAATGTTCTTTTTTTTAGGCATGTCTAAAATATGCAAAGAAAATTGCAAGGTCTCTGCCTTTAGGAAAAAAGAAAATCTGAGGATTTCCTGAGTGACAGTTACTTGTATTAACTACACACACACACACACACACACACATATACATATACACACGTATACATATATACGTATATGTGTGTGTATACATATATATGTATATATGCGCACGAGCATGGGGGAGGAGGGGAATACTTGTACACGTGTTGCTGAGGATCTAACCAAGAGCCTAGTGCAGGCCAGGCAAGCACTGTACCACTGAGCTACATCTCCAGGTTCAACTGCCCTAATATTTTAATATTTCATGCTAACTCAGTGTTTGAAGGGTAAGAAGTTTGGGCCTCATCTGAGGCTCAGATGTTGAAAATAAAACACAGTTGGCCCATTGATTTGAAACCTTCCACTTATCTCCAAATGTATGGTTTTGTTTTCTTTGTTTCTCATTTAGATCTGCATTTGAAAGCTTGAGGAACTATTGTAAAGGAGTAGAGATTCAATCTTGGAACCTAAAGCCATAGAGACTAAGATTTTAAAGCCCTGTGAATGGCTAGGGAGGTTCTTTTGCTTGCTTGTTTTGTTTCAATTAGCGTTTTAGGTGGGATTCAGGCAGATTCTTGGAGCATTTAAGTTCTGTGCTTACACAACTAGGAATTCTAAAAAGAAATCAAGCTGGGTCGGGGGTGTAGCTAATTCAGTGGTAGAGCATGTGCTTTGTGTGCACAAGACCTTGGGTTTGATTCCCAGCATCACAAATAAAATGAAATACTTTTCCTTTTAATGTGTTAAAAATCCTGTAATGTAATACAGCTTAAGTATAATTATCTAAATTTTAAAATAGGGCTAGGGAGTCTGTACTCCCATTTCCTGCATGAGAACCGGAAACGTTTCTCCCTTTTTTTCCATTTCTTCCTACTCTTACCTTGTTACGCTAAATTCTTTTCTTAATACACTTTACTATTACTTTTACTATAAAAAAATTAAAGTAAGTGAAAAATAGGGCTAGTGGTGTAGCTCAGTGGTAGAGTGCTTGCCTCGTATTGTCAAGGTCCCCATCCCAGCCTGAGGGTTTGCTGTTTGTCAGAGGGTCCCCAGAAGCCTTATATCCCTGCTATCCGGTGCGGACAGGACAGGTGAGTCACTCCTCTAGCTGCACCAGCATACCCTTGCTTGCTTTTTTTTCCCCTCTGCCCTGTAAAAACTCATGAGTTTTTAAAAAGCAGGTTCAGAAAAGAAATGGGAAGAAGTCCTGCAAAGCTGGACCGGCTTAAAGACCAAATCCAGGGTTGATGGCAAATGCACAGACCTCTACCCCACTCCCCCAAAACAAATCTTCAAGCAGGTGATAAACACCCTTTACTGCAATCAAATTCTGGGAACGTGAAAGTGCCATTGGGTCATTC